TAAACTCCTATTCACAGGTGAAATCACCAACTCGCATTCTTCTAGGTGGAGTGGAGAAAAAAAATTCTATTCTTGAGAACGGGATACAAGGCAATAAACAGGTTTGCATTTGATGGTTATCATATTCCCTGCCTGGGACCACTAGGTCTTGCACACCCCATCGAATGCATCCATCTCCAGCTGAGAATGCGTGCCTCGCATGGATGGCCAAGAGCAACGCGCCACACAGAGAGCAAAAGAGGATGTCTCAACAATATTCAGCAAGCGTCCAGGTCGCTTCCCGTCTGGGCAAAGAGTGAGATATCAATACCAATACTCCGTGCATTGGATCAGGTCATGAACCGGGCTGGTCCGGGCCCAGGTGCTGGGTCTCACGGATGGAAAGGCAATTGTTGGGACGCCTTGTGCGATGGATATACCAAGGTGTACTCGGCAGCTTCTGTACTGATCTTGGCTCGGCTGCAGGTTGCCGCTAGCTCAACACCACCTTGGAGAGATAGAGACCGCTAGAGTATTATCACACGTTTCGCACTGGAACTTGAGACGGCCCATGATTGAGATCATTCATATGTCATATGTTGCTCCACTGTCTGCCAAGAGCCGAGGGAGCGGTCGCAAGCTTCATACTCGATCAGGGCACATATATGTTGGTCTTCGTCTCATAGTCTTTTCCATGATCCTTGCCTCTCAGCCGTAAGGCAGTAGATGGGCATTTTCTGCTCTGCGGTTTGTTTCACTAAGAAGGTTGGCATCAACTTCCCCAGCCCGTACCGGGCCAAAGGATGCGTGACGGTGGTTATGGCCACAGAAGCATCTCGCTGATCGACTGGGTAAATGACTCCAAGAATATATCGCATGGCAAGCGCCACGAAGATCGGCATCAATGCCCCAAGTTGACCGTCAGGCCGATCAAACACACATATGCAGCGATACTGAGGGCGGTTAAAACCAACACGGCATTGCCACTGGTCCGGAATTTATGGCGATGTATCCCATCCTCGCCCAGCTCGGAGAAAAACTGCCGGTTTCCTTGCGAGCGACGGAAGAGGCCGATGATCAGGACGCCCGTGCCGTAGATGGCGAACAACGCACCGATGCTGTAGAACTCGGCTGTGAAGATCTTGAGGACGACGAGGGCAAAAGAGAATTGAGAGAGGGCTGTGCGGACGTAGGCGCCTTCAAAGGTGCGCTGGGCGGCGCGCACTTCAACCATCTCGTCCGAGGTTAGCACTGCCGACCGGGCGCGGTGCATTCGAAGGCGATAGCGGTCTGCCGCACGTCGCTGGAGGATGTTAGATTCGGCTACACAGATAGACAGGAGATCTCGTACCTCGAACATGGCGGCGGCGTAGTTGTTGATGTGAGTGTGATTACGATTGTGTTGTTGTCGAGGTGGAAGAGGTTGAGGAGGGAAAAGGGTCAAGGCTCACGTGGACGACCGATGTTGCACCAATACTTCTTCATTCCTCTTCCATCACCTGCTCAGTAATGATCATTCATCATCATTATCATCTTTCGATTTCTATACCCTTTCGTTCTCAATAATGGTTCTTGTTATCTGTAAACTACCCCCGACATGATTTCTCCACCAATGACCCTCATCCCGGCTATCGAACTTGCCCAACCCGGCGTTTCGGTCGCCGCCCTTCCCCACATCCCCCGTTCCCCAATTTTGTCGGACCCAATTTTGTCGGACAAGAGGCCGACAAACTTCGGGCTTATCTCGACCGAGTTTTCCCACTCCTCTCTTTTCTCAACCCTCCGTGTCAGCAGTCGTGAGAACCGGCTGTCTCTGGCTCCCGTTCTCAGATTGTTCTCAGTGTTTCGCAGTGGGTGACAATGGCGAAAGTATTCGATGCGGCCGAAGGTATCGTTCCCACCGGTTGGATTGGAGTAGATCTCATTTGAGTGTTCTCTGACTCGACCTCATAGTCGCAAAACATAATACCCCCGAAAGTTGCTGGGTAATCCTTTATGGCAAGGTCTACGACGTACGACTTCCTCAATACATACAGTTTTTCTCAGAGCGATATTGACCCAGAGACTAGGTGACCGACTTCATTGACAGCCACCCCGGGGGCAAGAAGGTTATCCTGAAGCTAGCAGGCAAAGATGCTACCGAAGAATATGACCCGATTCACCCTCCCGGCATCCTGGAGGATGAGCTCAAACCCGAGCAGTGTATAGGCACTGTGAACCCGGACACATTGCCCAAGAACGAAGCGCCAGCGGCGACGCAGAAACCCGCCCAAGGACCGCCACCAATGGAGCAAATTCTCAATCTGGACGAGATTGAAGCGGTGGCTACCAGGCAGGTTAACAAACGAGCGTGGGCATATTACTTCTCCGCGGCCGACGACAAGATCACCAAGGAGTTCAACCGCGAAGTATACCGATCCATCATTCTGCGGCCACGGGTTTTCGTTGACTGTACCCGATGTGACTTGGGTACTACGTTCTTGGGGCACAAGGTGGGACTTCCCATCTATGTGTCGCCCGCGGCCATGGCCCGTTTGGGCCACCCTGCAGGCGAGGCAGGCATTGCAGAGGCATGCCGCAGCTTTGGGGCCTTGCAAATAATATCGAACAACGCATCCATGACCCCAGAACAAATTGTCAAGGACGCGGCTCCGGACCAAGTCTTTGGTTGGCAAATCTATGTCAATGTGGATCACAAGAAGAGCGAGGGAGCGCTGGCACGCATCAACAAGCTCAAAGCGATTAAGTTCATTGTTCTCACGCTCGACGCCCCCGTTCCTGGAAAGCGAGAAGACGACGAACGAAGCGGTTTTGAATTGGCGCCCCCGACTCCTACGACGACGCAGGACACGGAAGATGTTTCTAAAACAACCGGTGGAGTCGGCCAGCAGCTCTTCGCTGGCACCGATCCATCTCTGACGTGGAAGGATACTCTGCCGTGGCTTGCCAAGCACACGGATCGGCCTATTATCTTGAAGGGTGTGCAGACTCACGAGGACGCATACATTGCATCTCTTCACGCTCCCCAGGTTAAGGGTATCATCCTTTCCAACCATGGCGGACGGGCCATGGACACGGCCCCGCCAGCCGTCCATACTCTGTTGGAAATCCGGAAATACTGCCCGGAAGTTTTCGACAAACTTGAAGTCTCCGTGGACGGAGGAATTCGGCGCGGCACAGATGTGATCAAGGCTCTCTGCCTGGGCGCCAAGGCTGTAGGCATTGGACGGCCTGCTCTCTGGGGCCTCGGAGCAGGGGGAGTGAATGGTGTGCGTCGGACTTTGCAGAGTATGTGGGACCTATGGCTGTTATAGATGCACATTACTGACTCTTTTCGATAGTTCTGGCCGATGAAAGCAAAACCGCTATGCGGCTGCTTGGGGTGGAGAGCGTGGATAAACTCGGACCCCAGCACGTATGTCCTCGATATATAACTGATCAAGCAAGAAATATACTAACTGCCACAGGTCAATACCCGCCTCACTGAGCAACAGATCTACGACGGACCTTCGGGCCTTGAGTCCTTGCGGCGTGTTTACCGGGCCAGGCTGTAGTGGTGGACCAAACGTAGATAGTCCGTGGAGTGTGTATAAGCCCTGCATTTCTTATAATAGTAGCATGCCACGTATTATTATTTTGTGTCTAGCGGAACCGATGATGCTCTCTTCATACATCGTGCCAAGAATGGCAATCTTCTTCATACTTCGCGACAAGACAACACGGGCGGTAAGCGCTAGCTTCGGATTTAACGGGCTGAATAACTAAGGTGAAACTGGAGGCTCTCGCAGGTCACCACTGTGTCCTTTTCCTGTTGCTTTCGCTATAATCAAACAACAATCTACTCCCCAGGCCAAGATGGCTGATACCAAGGATGCCTCAACCGGCCACACTACAGAGGCAACTTTCCGCGCTTACACGAGCGAGCAAGGCGCGGCCTACTCCGAGGCGCGGCCAGGCTACCACCCCAACCTGTACAAGCGCGTGATAGACCACCATGTTTCGACCGGTGGCCAGCTGGGCACCCTCATCGACGTTGGCTGCGGACCCGGAACGGCGACTCGGCCCTTGGCACCACACTTCACCCACGCCTTCGGGCTGGATCCATCCCAGGGCATGATTTCCACTGCTCGTCAGAACGGCGGCACAACTTCCTCCGGCCAGCCCATCCAATTCGAATGTTCGACTGCCGAGGACCTGGCCGCGGGCCAGAATCTCATTCCCGACGGCACAGCCGACCTGATCGTGGCCGCAACAGCGGCGCACTGGTTCGACATCGCGAAATTCTGGCCACGCGCCGCCAAGATCCTCCGGCCCGGCGGCACGGTTGCATTCTGGACCACCAGCTCCATGCAGGCGCACCCGTCCGTGCCGAATGCCGAAAAAATCAATGCGGCGATGGCGGAGCTGCGCGAGCGCGAGATGATGCCGTATATCGAAAACGGCAATCGCATCAACCGGTCCCTGTACACGGAGATGTTCCCCTTACCCTGGGAATGCGATCCGCAAGTGCCAGAATTCGAGCAGAGCACCTTCGTCCGCAAGGAATGGGGCACACCCAATAACGACGACGCGGAAGTGGAGGGCGGAGAGCTGTTTATTAATGGGCAGCGAGAGGTGTCGCTTGATTTGATGGAGAAGATGATGGTGACTGGTAGTCCTGTACATCGGTGGCAGCAGGCTAATCCGGACAAGGTGGGCACGGATCAAGATATAGTCAAGCTGATGAGGAATCGGATCGCCAAATTGTTGCATGAGGCCGGTGTTCCGGAGGGGAAGGAGACACTGAAGGGCAATATTTGTGGAGTTTTGATCATGGTTAAAAAGAAGGCGTAGATACTAAGGCTTATTTTGTACGTTAATAGTTTTATTTCATATAGCTACTTATTTATTATGCCTTTGATCAGATATTATCAATTCTGTTAGGTCTTCTTGCCCCGCATTTCTGTCAGACCCAATCGAAATCAAATTCAAATCCTACCCTAATCAGGCCTCTGCCATATTCATCACGACACCTTGACTTAATGTTGTCTTCTAACGTTTACTGCCCTCTCTGTGGAGTCATCTTACTGCCCAATACCGACCTTGCCGACACTCGCGTTCGCCATTGGTACACACAAATACGAGGCATCTACCCAACCGATGCCGCTGCTGGCGATCCTGTCACCACAACCGGGGTAGGATTCGTACGCTACCGAAAAGAACTCCACGCACCGCTTGACAGTGATCGATCCTATTTCGATGTGGGGATTGGGCCGCTAGAAACGTGGAAGCTTTGCGAGTCATCTGGCCGTTGGTGCTTCGGCATACACGACTCGTGCTGGAGATTGCTTCTCCTTAGGCTGCGCCACTTCCAGGATAAAGCGGCCATTGCAAAGTCGGTCTTCTACCAGCTTTATTGCACCCCTTGCCGCTATGCATCCACCTTCCAATTCGGCCACGACTATGAGGGTGCTGGGCAAACACACGAACCGTTCGGGCGGTCCGCAGTAAATCGGATGTCGCAATTCTATGCCGACCCTTTCGAAATCCCGCACAACTTGGAGGACTTTGGTCATTATAAACCCTATGTTCCATCTTCCGGCGATCCAACGAAAGAAAGACGCGAAAAGCTAGAAAGACATGTCTTCACTGAACTCTCTCCAGAGCTGAAATTTGAGATATTTTCATATCTATCCTTTGACGAGCTCCTGAATATGAGACTCGTATGTCGAGATCTAGCTCTACTTGCAGCTGTCGAAAGCCTTCCACTGTCGTACTGGCGGAGCAGGTTTCTCCGTGGTCAGGAGTTTGACTTTCTGTTCCCGAGCCTCACTGATACGCAAAACTGGTTTGGACTTTTCTTTGGGACTAGGGCATTTCTAAGAGCCGGATACACGGAATTGGTCAATCGGAAAAGAATACGACAGCTACTAGAACCCATTGCTGCTCTTGTGGAACTAGAGGCTACTTTGTGCAAAGGTCCATGCGGATCGGCCTTTCGCCTGAGGAAAAGCGAAGGCGGCTATTTCCAGCTAATTGATGACCACAGGACTGAAAAGCCACCTCAGTTCATAGAGATAGCTAGATCGTTTTCTGGTCAGCTAGCCTCGATTTCCGCGGAGAGTTCCTTGGAAGAGGGATGTCGTGTGCTTTACCAGAGGGCACAATCATTTATGCCCCCGTGTCAGGAGTATCGACAGCGAATAGGTATCTCAACCGTCCAAATCGGCGCAAAGAGTTTTATATCGGGGATAATTCTCTTTCCGTCGGGGGGAGCACAATGTCGTTGATCGTCTAGTTGGATATCGCATTCCAGCATCTGAGGTGTGGATAGATATACCGTCTACCGTAAAATCTGTTTGTGTGGCATTTTGCTCGGAAGGGTTGACGGGAATCAAGTTCACATTCACAAGCTCGGATTCATCAGCCTGGGTTGGTAGTAGCAGCGGCCCAGGAATTGCTTATGGCACCATAGGCATTCCGGATAAGTTGGAGCAATATCGCCTGCTTGCAGGTTTGGATCGATACAAGATTGTTTCACTCGGCCTTGGTGAACTGACATTGAACCCCCGCCCCGGAGCTTCTCCGAAGCTAACCTCTCAAGATGCAATGGATTCGCTTCGTGTACAGTCCTATTTGTGGACCTCGCATCTTCCAGGACATGAGGGTTTAAGAATCAGCCCTCTCCTGCCGTCCATGCCCTCGCGAGCCTTTGAACCGCTGACCAACATTGACTTTGGTGGCCCAAGAGGCCTATTTCTCAAATCCTTGACAAGACTTACTTTCTACATGGCCTCCGATTCCTATCCAATCACGGGCATAGAGATATTCTACTCTGATAGAAGGTCTCTGCTTTCCGGCACTAAAGATGGCTGTGAGCTGTCCTTTTTTCTCGATGGCTCAAACGGAGAACGTATCAATCAACTCGGGGTTCTAGAAGACAGTTGGAGAGACTCAGTCGGTCTAGGTGGCTTACAGGTCCTTTCCAGAGAATCCCCAAATATCTGTATGGGTTGCTAACTTCGACCTAGATCTCAACAAACTATGGACGCACTACCACTTTTGCTCCTCTTCGCCTTCGACTCAATGCAGCACTTAGTCAAATACCAATCTCGCCATCAGGTAATACCATCACAGGATTGGTTGCTCTTGAACAAGTATGCGCCTAGATAGCAATACCTTACGCAGTTCCAAACGGCAGCTGAATAGATACAGACAAACCAATCTCGCCTTATCCGAGTCGGCATTCAGTCCCAACAATGTGATGAACAGCGTATGCCACCACCGGATACTCTGGATTGCGAATGCTATCGGACACTCGAATATCAGCTACGATACGACGATAAATTCACTCATTTCATAGATAGTTCAAACCCCAGCAACTATCAGACCTATGCATCACTAAAGGACATCCGGAGTATCCAAGCATCTATGGGCATCCAAGGCCGATCTAGAATTTCGAATCGCTTATCCGGTTTGAAGTTTGAGTATTACAACCATCCAAGTCCTAGCACAGTAGGACAATGGATGGATGAAATTGACGATGGTTTTGAATTCTCCCTAGATGAGGCAGTTCAATCGTTAACTATCTGGCTCACTCCAATGGGTTACTCTACTGAACGCGGGCTGGAGGTAGGCCAAGTTGCCGCCATCCACATTGAGACGACTCATTCTCGCAGCGTAACATTTCGCTCTCCGGACTTTCGCTCCCTTCCGCCCCAAAAGCTGCAACAGCAGTACCAAAGTGACCGTGACGAGACACTAACAGGTATCTCATGGATATTGAATGCATCTTGTGATCGCGTCCGAGCAGTCATTTCTGCCTCTACGAACGAAGGCCGGAGAGCTCAGATACTGGTCCCAGAACACCCTCCCCCTTTTGACCAGGTACGGAAACTTTACTTCGCGACGCAGAATGACGACGGTCATAGAGACACTATAGTCACAGCCGAAGCCTACTTCCGAGATCGGGCGATTATCGGACTTGTTTTCGTTTACACGTCGGCTGCAAAAGCGAGCCTAGGCGATTTCGATACCAATGCCCGTCAAACAGTTCGTTTTCCACTGGACGCTCAGATTGTTGGCTTTTCGGTCGCGACCAAAAAGCGTGACCTTGTGGAAATCGAGTTCGAGGTTGAACGAAGTGAGCAGCCTCTGTACAAGAAGCTTAGACTCTCCATCAATTACACCGTCGGATATGACAGGCGAGACGTATGGTGTAAAGACGAAGCGTCTGCGGAAAGCCATCAACGACTCTTAGCGGGTGACCGTGTATACGAACCCCCGAGCGAGTCGAAGCTGGTCGGTATCTATGTGGGCTGTCAGGAGTTCTTCCGTGTTGGAGCATTGTATGAGTCCGAGGTTTCTCAATAGGTATGTGGATTTTATTCTGCATATCTTATTTGCAGGTCCATGATCAAGACGGGTTTCACTCAAAGAAAACAGACGAGGATGCTACATAAAGAATATATGCGAGTTTTTGTTCCACGCGGATATAAATCAGCCAATCACGATCAGTTCCTCCAAGCTAGCTACAACCCTAATCCCGTCCATCTCCGTTCCACTGTGGCACCGGCAAAAAATCAGAATTTTTACCCGGTCGCCCATTCATCATAGGCAAAAAGAAATGACCAGACTGGGGCTCGATCCCAGGACCTTATCGGTGTTAACGATACGTGATAACCAACTACACCATCCGGCCAATTGATGGAGGAATGAGCTCCTTTCAACAATACATTCTTATTAGAGTTTCACGCCAACATCAGCGGAGGCCAATGGATGTCAAAGGTCTCCTTTGAGGGAGACCATTTTAGTATACTGGACAGATTCTCTTGTGCGTGTCTCTTTCTATCGCGTGTAGTTGTCTTCAAGCAATCCATAGTTCCTGGGTTCTTCACCAGGAGTTTGCAACAGGTACTGAATTTATTCAGTTGGTGGGTTGTCGGCTCATGGTGACTTGCGCTAAATTTTTGTCTCTCTTCGTCGAGAGATTTGATGATCGGGTCAAGCAGAATACTCGTCATGATAAGGAAAAATCTCAGCCATCTTTGTGAATGCCCTATACACTAGAGGTCCAAAGCCAACTCCGCCTCGATCAAACTCTCTGCAACCCCCGGATAGGTGTAGATGTTGACCACCTTCAATCCAGCTGCGGCCAGAATAGTTCTCCACTCAGCCTCCGTTCTTTCTCTAACTGCAAAATGGGCTAACATCATCATATCCATACTTGTAGCAGCCAGTGTCGGTTTTTCTTCACTGACAACAATTTCGTTCAACAAAACTCGCGAATAGCCCTTCTCCAATGCTGGAGCTAGGTTCTTTAAGATCATGATGCCATCTTCATCGCCCCAGTCATGGAGAATAGAGTGAAGAGAGTAGGCTCGCGCACCCTTGATTGGTTGTGGTTTGAAAAAATTGTAGGCTTGCGCCTCAAAACCCTCAGAGCCATTAGCTAACACGCTAGCGATAACGGGCTCGCGATCCTGAAGAATGATTCTCCCAGGGTGAGAAGTATATTGTGCGGCAAAATTAGCGACATCATGACCCTTTCCCCCACCGACGTCGACGAGAAGAACATCGCTGACGGACGGATCAAAGCCCGTAATCATTAGCTCGGTTACCGGGTAGAAATCGTACCAATTTGCCTTGCCAGCCCGATACGCACTCATAAAGGAGTCAAAATGCTGGAGGTGCGGCGGGGTTGCAACCAACCATTCGAAGAATGGAAGCTTGGTCTTGTGGGCGTGCTGGAAAGGTCCGTCTGTGCCACCCAGTGTTGGGGACCTATATTCGGAATTCTTGAAATACTCCGGAAATCCATTGAACGAAGGACGAGCGGCATCATAGCAAAAAGCGATGGAGTGTTGGAAATTTTCCGCTGCGAGATCGTTGCTCAGCCTTGTGGGGTGAAATGCTCCGTCCCTAAACGAGAGGAGATTCATCGCCACTAAATGTCTCGCTAAACGTGACAAGAGAACTGTATCGACCCCGGTCTTCTGGGATAGAGCCGTAGATGTCAGGCCCGCATGTCCCCCATCCCGCAAATATTGGAATAGTTTGACGTCGACGGCGAGGCGGACAATGGCTGATTGGGCCGGCTATCACCAATGCGGTTCAGTATGCGAGCAGGAGTGGGCTTTGGGAAAGTCTAGTGACTACTCACTTCTGCCCAGAAGGTTCGCTGTATAAATTCACTAGGAATCTCTAGTGCCGTAATCAATTTACGGCCGTAGTCGATTAGAGCTTCCCTTGAGCCAGCCTCGTGGTTGTCGAACGCGGTGCGCGAAGATGCGATTCCATCAAGAATCGCGGACACAGACGGATCGGTCATTGTTGTAGAGGTGTGTCCAAAAGGATACGTAGCCATATGAATTATGGCTCGAGAGAGGGGTACTGTACATTATAAAGACTGTCTTGCCAGCTATAGCCGAGACGTTGCCATTTTTGGGGGGAGCACCACTCTAAACCATTATCCACTAATTTAGTTCTGCCCCACCACAGACCTATAGGCGAGTTAGGGGTTGGTCCGAAATTGTTAGATCATATCCTTCCTCCAGCAATAGTGCCTCTAGCAATTATTCCCATACTAAGCCGCAAATGAGGCCGGCCAGACCGCCACACGACGGGGAACTGATGACCATTGATCAAAGTTCTCGAGCCACACGGGCCCCAATAAATTCGACTCAAGGCTCGTCTGGGATCTGAATGACAAAGGAGGTGTGCTTGACAAGGTATCGGTTGTGGAAACGGAGTCACATTAACTTGGCTTAATCTTTAGTGCGGCCTGGCGTGTGGCACGTTAGCCAACTAGCGTGTTGGCGGGTTAGCGGCTCGTAAGGGGGGCCTGATTTCGCCGTTCGGCCCCAAACCTACCAGGGCGGCTGACAAGCCCGATGAATCGTATCAAATGAAGAAATGGAGAGTTTCTATCAACGGCCCCCGCAATCCAATGCGTTCGGTCGGCCCCGCGTTGCATCATCGGTTAACTTGGCCATGATAGCATGCTCATACCTCACGGTACAATCATCCCGACTCCAGTGCCCAGAATGGATGTCTTGCTGCTGCTCTCGCTGGCCCTCGTGGTCCTGATCTCCTTCCTCGCCTACCGAGTCTACTTCCATCCTCTCGCTCATATCCCCGGTCCTCCATTGGCCAAGGTCACCTATCTGTATGAATGGTACTACGATCTGTATCGAAGTGGCCAGTTCACCTTCCAGCTTCGGGCCCTACATCGCAAATATGGTACCAATCCCACCCACCGTCTCCCTAGAGCCGATCTAATATCCTGTTCCTGCAGGCCCAGTCATTCGCATCAACCCCGATGAAGTGCACATCGATGACCCCGATTTCTTTGATCAGGTCTTCAACCAAACCAATGGTCGCGCAGAGAAGCCCCTGCGCGTCGCAGAAGCCTTTGGGCCGTATCCTGCGGTATATCTGCCCTCTCCGCCGATTCATCCAATGTCTACGAGACAGGAAATATCATTGACAGACCTAGACACTTGGTACTCAGTCGCATGACCTACACCGTCTGCGACGTAGTGCCTTAAACCCATTCTTTTCCAAGAAATCTGTCACCGACCTTGTCCCAGCCATGTGGCGTCCAATTGAGATTCTGCGAGAGCGTCTGCACCGCGCGGCTCAGACAGGTGAGATGCTGAACATGAAGTATATCTATGCCGCGGTGACTCTCGATATCATCAACGCCTACTGCTTTGCCCATGAGCCGCACAACGTGCGCCAGCCCGATTTCGGTCGCAAGGGATTTGATGATGTGGATAGCTTCCTGGAGGTCAGCTTGCTGAATATCCATATTCCATGGTTGATGCGCCTCACATATTCACTGCCGGTAAGGCTGTTGTGCTCTCCGGATTAGGGAGATACATACCCGGGTACTCATTCGGTGTGGAATGTTTAGGACCGCGTCAACAAGATCCTGGCCCCAGCAATGGCGGACATATTGGATTTCCGTCGGGTAAGACCGTCGCATGTGAAATAGAAGGATAGATGGGCTGACTGGCGTCCCTATAGGATTTGTCTCGGCAGGTGGAGGCCATTCGGCATGGTGAGGATACAGCCTACGAGAAAGCCGGCCATCGGACGGTCTTCCACGAGCTGCTGGCTAGCAAGCTCCCTGCGGTCGAGCTACAGAGGGACAGGTTGCGCGATGAAGCCTTCAGCTTGGTGACGGCGGGTTCTGGGACTACGTAAACCTTTCAACCTTTCCACAGTGGCCCTTGTTCAGAAACTAACCGGTCCCAGAGCATATGTACTGCGTGGGACGGCCTATCACATTGCCGCCAACCCAGCAGTGCGACAACGGCTGCATAACGAGCTCGTTGCCGCTATCCCAGACCTTCAGCAATTTCCCTCCCTGACGTCGCTCGAACAACTCCCCTATCTGACAGCCGTAATCCAGGAGGGTCTGCGACTATGTGATCCCGTTACCCATCGCATTAGCCGCCAATTTCCCGACCAGCCGCTCCAATGCCGCGGGATCTTCATTCCCGCGGACACTATCGTTGGCATGACCGCCATGCTCACCCATCTCAACGACACCATCTTCCCGGAGCCTCGCGTCTTCCGGCCCGAGCGCTGGCTGGGACCCGACGGCAAGCGACTGGAACGATACCTGGTGCCGTTCAACAGGGGCACACGCTCTTGTCTGGGTATGAATCTGGCGCGTGCGGAGCTGGTTCTGATCCTAGCGGCCGTCTTCCGGCAGTTCGACTTCAATGTGTCCGCTGTGCAACGCGGCCGTGACATCGACGTGAGCCGGGACTACATTTTGGGGGCGCAGGCTCGCGATACGCCAGGCATTCTAGTGACGGTGAAGGAGTGTTAGTACAAGGCTGTGTTGGCTAATTGGTTAAATGTTGATCGCGTGTGAGACTCCCTTTGGAGGAATTAAGGAAAGCGGATACGGACGGGAAGGAAGCAAATATGGTAAGGATGAATACCAAATGTTTATCTCTATGTCCTAGTAATTTCTCCACAATTGGCCTGTTAGCCACAATAATCGCGTATGTAAGAGGAACTCGGTTGTAGGCATCTTAGGGATTGACGTTGGCTCGCGGACAAAGTAGGAGAGCATCCAAAACTTGAGCTTAGGATCGCCCCGGTATGTTCGCGCCCAGTAGTGTTTCACATCTAAAAGCGTCTCGCGTAGGAATAGGAAATTCTGGGCGGCTATTTGAAACTTAGGGAGGTGTATCCAATCGAAGGGCGCATTCAAATGAAAGACACGGCCAGGCGTAATGAACCACACTGATCTACCACTTACGCGCCGAACTTTCGAGCCGGATCCGACTTGTACCCCTCTCTAATTAATTTCCATGCCCCATTCGAGGGTGAGATTCTTCGTGTTTTAGCTTAGCGCCCAACTTGTAGTCAGGGCGGGCGGCTAGCTGCCTTCAAGCCTTAAATATAAAATCCCTCAAACCGTAGCGCAGATAGTTTGCCCTTGCACCACTAAACTTTTTTTTTTTCAGAATTGAGTCTCTTTTGATGGATATTCTTGGCCACTAAGTTATCTGCTCTCTTCACTTATGGAGCCTCCGACCCGTTCTCAAGTATCGGAAAATTCTAAGAATGCGCCTAAGGGTCCATCTGCGTCAGGCTTAGAGGGCTCACAAAAACACAAGAATGGAAATAAAAGTATCATTCATGACTATTGCATAGAGACAATGGAAAAAGGATATAAAAGATGTATATGGATCTGCATCAAGAAAGGGAAGCAGTGGATCGCAAAAGACATAACGATCGACGACAAGGGCGAGCTAGGGATCCCTGAACTACGCAAAGAATTCTGCAGTTGGTGGAAGCGCTATTCCTTCTATTCAGTAGTAGGGGTTAAAGCAGTTGTGGTGCGATATTTTTTTCACCCAAGTCAATCCGATGCGCTAATAGCATGCCTCAGTTCCGGTTCGCAAAATTTCCTAATGAAACGAATGAGATTTCGGTTTTTGCAAAGGATTTCGACTATGATTCTAAAAAATCAGGACTCCAGTGTCAAATTGACAGCTTAACAATTAAAGAAAATCCTGAGGAGTGTCTCGATACTATGGGCGAATTCCACGCTGATCTTCATAGTTGCCGTAACAGATTCTATGATGTATATGGCAAAGAGCACTGTGCTGTTGAGAATCTCTACGACCTCAAACTACGGCAAGAAGTATACGAATGGTTGCCAGAGAGGATAGATTACTATTGGGAAAACGAAATCAAGAAGGAACAAGTGGACTTTCTTGAAAAAGGTATGTTTGTGACTCAATACAAGTAAGCGAAATATTATACTCCTTTACATTTTAACCTGTATCTGACTCGGCGCTATAGCGATCTTAAATGGGTCGCTGGAAGTGAGGCAAGGAGTCCTTATGGAACAATAGTCAACGGATTTCAGTTGATTGACGATTGGCACATCCGCTATATTTTGGGTCTTATCATAGCTTCTTTGTTTATTAGTGCCTGTGTCGTTGCAGTATCTACTGCCATTCTGCAAAGCTTGGAGGCTGGATTGACGGCAGGCTCATATGCACTTGCAATTTCCGCTTTGGTTCTTGCAGCTTTGACCTTCCTTAGCGCTATCATGTGAATGGCACATAACCATGTCTCAAGGAATTCTGATCACTGAACCTTGCTTTATTTGGTTTCTAAGTGTGGTACATCGTCAGTTGTGACTGCTTTTACGTATTGAAGTCCATGTGGATGCAGTTTAGATTCATTATATATTCTGTGGATAGGGTTTGTTCCTGTGTTTACTGCTATCCTGATTAGACTGTCGGGTTTTGACCGATAAAACTCTAATGCCAGAGATCCAAACAATTGTGCTGCGGGGCCTTTCTTATGGTTCTGGTCCTGTACCAGCGGCGGCACGCGGCTGAAAGTTACGGGGTGGAAAGGCGACCGTTTCTGGCCTCAGAAATGGTCATTGTCGGCGTCGATTTCACAGGTCCTCATATTCTAGCTGTAAAACGCGGACCTGTGAATTGACTGTTCCATATCGACTAAAGATTCGGAAGGCCACACCGCACATTTCCGAGCTCACTACTTCCGTTCTTTCCCAGAATTTAGAGCACATGCCCTCTCGATGAATATATCGAACTGGAGCGGTGGCGACAGCGACGCGGTCGCAAGTGTATTCGGCGACGAAGTTTTTCATCCACCCAGACTGGTTCAGTTCATACCCTTATCATTAGCCAAAAAGAGCCGAATCTTCACGTTCGTGCCGTGTCACCGGAGGTGGTATACTCGTGCTCTTCAATGTCCTGTTCACAATCCAAATCTTCGCTCTTATCTTTCCTCCACTATTCTTCTTGCTCGGACTCATCAAATCCGTTGTATTCAAAGCAATTATTTGTCGACTCATGGCCGTTGGAATCCGTTACTGGCCGTTAAAGCATTGCCAATGTGGCTCACAACTCTCTGAGATTGTGCGCTCCCTTTATGTTAGTGGAAGGGAAGGAGAGCGTACTGCTTCGCTTGAAGGATACTCGGTCCCACTCCATTTTTCTCCCCATCGTTTTCCATTCTTGTTATCAACCTTGCTTCCTGGCCTGGTTTGGATGAGGCCTTTATGAGGTATGAGAAGAAAGCCAGGCGAGAGGCTGGAGAGATTAGAGAAGTGGGACCTATTCACAACGGCTGGATCATGAGTGGCACCAAGAACGTCGAAGGAGGCAGTATTACACACCGGTGAGTACTTTTTACCTCCGTCACATCAAAAGGTACCCCTGTCTTGTTCACCAATTGGAGGCGTTTACCACGGAACATAATCATACGCTCCGGGATCGTGACCTTTTCGAGCGCTAGTCCTGCGCATTGGTCACCAACTACTGCATCAGAAAATGCAGTAGTAGGGGGCTAGATTGGTTCGTGTTCGTTGTGATTCAGAGGAAGATGGGTTTGTTTTTGTTTTGGAGAGCATGCATGAGGCTCTGGATATACTGAGAAGGCACTTATGGTTGGAAATCTGCGTGGCAGAATTATGGGAGAAATCGGCGACAAGAGAGGACAAAACGGCCCCTGGAGCCGTAATTCCAACCATGATGAGGGACAGGGGTGCGTACTGGAGCCCCAGGCAAAAAGAATGGACAACCGTTGCCGAGAGAGGTGTAGATTGCATTGAGGAGGTACCCAATAGGCTATAGGATACCGCCTCGTTGGGGGCAATTTTAGCAAATAAACAAAGTCACGAGCCCATCAATGCAAACCACTAGGTGCAGTCCCTTGCTTTTCTCACACCTTTCAGCAGGACACAGGTTTTCATACCTCAAACCCTCCTCGAGGTCTGGTTCTCAGCAGGCGAAGTTGTTCCAGATCGGGGAACTGCCAAGATGCCGCGTTGGGCTGCGATAAAAAGGGGCTTTCAAGCTTTAGGAGTTTTCTCCTCCCTGAGGGATAAAGAGGAGGTAACGGGCATGGAAACGCAAGACCTGGACAGCAGAAACGTGGACGGTGGAAATGACCGACTAAAAGTGAGATGGTTCTCCGAAATCCCGCGTTGCTCTGTACGTCCCATCTGTTTATATCATGGCTAGCCAAGGCCGACATTTGAGAATGAATACTGACGTTGCAATTTGAAAATTTCGAAAACAACAGTTCCAATGCTTGTATCCACCAGCTTTGAATTGCGGTTGCTATTACTCCGACTTTAATTGCATATGCAGATCGATCCCAGATATCGCAGCGGACGAGGACGTCGAAGCTTGCATGAACTCATGCCCGGTGAACCCCGATCAACGCTGTTTGTAGCTTCCTGTCTTCTCTCCCTTCATATCTCACATGTCTAATTTCCTTTTATTTGAAGGGACTCCATCGCGTATTCTTGACTTTTGCGAGCTGGTCGGCGAAGATATTCAACTGCCAGAATATATGGCACAGTTCGCGGGGCTGCATCGACGACAAGATCATCAATTCAGTTATAGTGATGGAAGTTACTACTCCACCGCCAGTTATAGTGATGGAGGTTACTATTCTACCCCCAGTTATGATAGTGGAATTTACTATTTCACCCCCTATGGTTCGAGCTCTTCGCTGCAGCCTGCAACGGCCACAACGGATACACCGGCTTCGGCGACAGCGATTTCTTTAACTAGCAGTGAAACAATAACATCATCATACACGTCAACTACTACGGGAAGCGCGTCTACAAATACCGCATTGTCTTCATCCTCCTCGGATCTCTCGACTGGAGCAAAGGCTGGCATTGGAGTGGCAATTCCGCTAGTTGTCATAATATTAGGGTTATCTCTATTATGTTACTTCCGCAAGCGAAGGGTGAACAGGAGAAATGGTGCAGGCAACAACATTCCTGAAATCAGTCAACAATCGTGGCCAGAGAAACCCTCGCCAAAGTCAAAAATCCTCCCTGCCGAAGCGGATAGCACCGCCCTTCACGAACCGGACAGCAGATTTATATTTGAATCGCCATCCGAATCGCCATCCTTGGATGCCGGTACGCGGAATCCTGGTGTTTACGAGATGAGTGGTAATTCTGCCGTCGAATATCCTCCCGTGGCAGCTTTCGCTACGCAGAAGCACATGACCTCGCTAGGCCATCACTTTTCTAAGACCTACTCATCCTCGGGTAACAATGTATCTCGCAAGGCGGTCACATCCTCCGCTTCTATGCCTGCCTCTGCAATGATCCCAAGTGGAGGTTTAGGTGCTTCAATGAGTGCCTTGACCGACTCTGGTGCGCCGTCGCAGAACCCACATGTGAAAACTTGGGAGGGTACTGAGCGGACATCGTCAGGTGTGGAAAACACTGATGCGCAATTGGCGGAGCTTGAGGCGGAAATGGCGCGTATCGCGGAAGAAAGAGAGCGCTTGCAACAAATGCAGGTTTTGGCAGACAGAGAGGCAGAGCTGAAAAGACAGATTGCCGCACGAAAAGATGCAATCTCGGAGGCAAAACCAGATAGCTCACTTTGAAATGGTTCAAATAAATGAACAACTCTTTCTTGATAAATCTAGCCAACCGGAGGTCCTACAGACTCATGAATTAGTTCATCCTAGTCGTAGCTTCAAGCGCTACCGTCTGATACCCTTTCCATAGTTTCATAGGGGAGATCGCAGCGATAGTTGCGACTGGTGCGAACCGCACAGAGATTGCCCCTAATAAGAGAGGAACACCAAAACTCACGGCGCCAGGCGACCCGCCTCAGTCGATGGACGACATCGCGGAGGGAGCCCGCCGAGTGCTTAATCACATCGAAAACAATGACTTGGAGGATAGATAAATAATGGGATATATCCTTCGGTATTGAACTGCCATGTTCAGATCGCGAATGGAAGGCAGACAGTGAGCAGGAGTGGAAGAATAAACTAGATTGAGGGAGGGTCCAGCAGATTTTCAAGAATCTCTGGAGCTGCTCTTCGAATATCACCCGGCGTCCGAACTTCAGAAACCACCTCGCTTTTCATCTCTCGGAGGGTTCACTGCCATCGTTCAACAGATTTGGCTCTTTCGCCACACACGATTTTCGAGCCATCAAGAGCGTGGTGGTCTAGTATTCTCAGATATTAGCTTGCGTGGCGCGCGTTGCCAAATCCTCCATTTCCGCATTCCGATACGGGACTTGCACATAGACGCGGATCATAGCGTGCCTTCCATGACCGTTGACCTCGATACAGGATAGTTTGAGTGACGCGCAAGAGGGAAGAGGGTCGCCTTTCTCAGTCTGGTAGTCGTGTTCATTGAGGATTTCAATGATCTTCCACTGGATTGGCTGAGGGTGGGATAGGTTGATGATCTTGCCGATCTGTATAGTTTGGCGCATAGGTCCCTGGTTGAACCAGGATCTTGGAGAAGACATCGAAGCTGGATAATTGTTTGACACGACGTGATATGAACGTGGGAACCTACGGAAAAGTGTGTGGGTCTCATGTTGACCTCATTGGCAACAGGCGTGTATTATAAGCTACGACCATGGGGACCTTGCCCAAAACGTACTAGCCTCTAGGGTTTTATCAACATCTAAAACCTTGAATTGTGTTTAAAAATATATGCGACAGACGGAATACCTAAGAAGTTAGCATAAACCATAAAACTTAGACAATAAACTCTTGTTAACGTAAATCCCGTAGCAGACTCGGAATATGGTGCCGGCCCTTCAGACTATATTCTGGGTTACGAGAATGAGAATCCGAACACTAAAGGCATGGTTATCGAAGATGGACAAGGAGAATACAGCAAAAAGCAAAGCAATCATCACCCAAAAGGTGTCTGCCAGCAACACCATCGGCGGCAATACGAAAGAAATGAAAAATGGCCCTATGAAGCCAAGCTATATATGCTAAAAGACCAATTTGACAAACGAACATCAGACAACGAACTTGACACTCTCTAGCCCTTCTTGCCAGGCCGCTCCCAGCTGACCATAACCTCATCCGTCCTCTCGATGCCTGCAGCCCCCCGAAGAATAGTCTCATCGCTGGTATTTTTTGTTTTATGCTGCATAGGGGGTTTCTGGTAAGAGATTTTCGGTTCGATGGCTGAAATTTCATTGCCGGATTTTGAAAGTCTGCCGTATTTCCGACCGCTGCCATAAAGGGGCAATTTGTAGGAATTGTTGCCAGAGGAGCCGGTCTGGCTATCCTTGCCGTACCTGACGCGAAGGTATAGGGGACGCAGAACGGGAATTGACGAGCACATGATCGTGACACAGCTTTCCGTAGCCGACCAGATGAGCATTGGCACTGTATCATCTTCGAGTTGGGTTAGCTCCACCAGTGTTGGTGAGGGTTGAGGAAACATACAGATATACTCAGATGCATTCAAGCCTCCGAGAGCGACGGTGCGGACGATGCCACATATTCCAGCGCTAGAGTATTCCCGTCAGATATCTGCCCAAAGGAGTGGGGAGTGGGTGTGTCCTGGCTTACAAGACTCCAAGACTAAGACCACAGGCAACGGTGATCTTCTCTTTGCGCTTCATGTTGAGATCCCAGATAACGAACCATGGGAGAATCGCAAAGGCAAAGTCGGCCGCGACAAACCATGCTAGAAGATGGTAGGCTTAGCATGTATAGATCAAATCCGCGGCAGTATAGGGGCACTCACATCCAACAGTGAAGCCAACCTTCGAAAAGTCAAGCCAGCATGTTCCTTTGACAGTTGGATTCCAAGTCTTCTGCACTGGCAAGCACTGTATTACGACAGTAATGCTGGCAAACAATGTGATGATAACGGTGGCCGCAAGGAAACTCCAAATGAACCAAATCTGGATCTTATTTCGCACAATTCGAAGAAGGAAGACGCCAACGGCACATTTGCCAACACCGATTACCATAAGGCCAGCCACCTGGCTAAACACTTCATACATGACGGCCGTGGAGTATGTGGCTGGATTGCCGACTTGTGCGTATAGTCGTCCTAGACCATAAACACTAGACACTGTGACGAAGACAGTGTAAGTGATATGGAGAACCTTCGGCACATTAGCCCTTTCAAAAGCAATATGAAGTTCCGGTTGTTAAGCTCACCAGTGCAATAAGAACCAGATAATCATCAGCGCCAACAGAGTTGAGAATCTGTTTTCGCGTATAGAGTCGTAGCGCCACGAAGACAGCAACAATGATGGCTTCCACCCAAAGGACGGCATTGGTCATGGGTCCTAAACCGCCGTATGCGCTCATGTTGAAAGTAGCCACAATAAATTCACAGATAGAAAAGAAAGATTGTTTGGTGATGGAGGAAAGGAGAGCTCGCCAAACGAGAAGATGCCGCCTTGAATATATTATTATAGAAGGGTTTATGTCCTGTACATTGGACGATATCACACACCTGCTGCCGATCCGAAGCAAAGGTACACTTTACCGTTCTGTTCCGACATGTCAATTAGAGCCAGCCTGCAAAGGACTCGAGCACCCACCTGGTCAATTCTGGGACATGAAGTCTAGGCCCCGTCGGCTTACTTCCCCGAAAGCTGTCACTGCCGGTTATGGTAAGGATGTGCCAGTGACACGAGTGACTCGTGTCTGTCGGCTAGCGCATATCTTTTTAAAGGAACGTTGATTGTAGTCTTCATAGACTACATAAAGCTCCCCAGAGAGTCGGCTAATGGCTATAACGAGCTTCTAACAGATTCAGGAGTATACAATAGTAGAATCACCTCTCTGCCACGGTCGTCTAGGCCGTTTGAACTACCCTAGACTCGAGAAAACTCTGGGAAATTAACACCACAACCCCCCGGTCCGAAGCAAAGTATGTTAGTTGGGGATTAGCATTGCCCCGGTAGAGGTGGCAGGGATCAACAAGCCTGTTTGAACTATCTGAAACCAGAGCAACCCGATGAAATGACACTACTACCTCCACTTGTCTGAAGCAAAAGTACGTTAATTGGGGGTTTTCGCATTGTCCTCTGTAGAGCTGACATGGATCAACAAAGGCATTTCAAGCCACAGCCCCACCACCGGAAGCTCGTCTGGCAGGAAACGTGCGATGATCATACCAGAAGTCTACAGGGGGTTAGTGCACTCATAGGAGACAGTTCAACCACTGACAGTACACATTTCAGCCTGTGGGTCCTAGCTCTAACGGCCAGGGGTATGTGTGCAGCCAAAGTCGCTCGCAATACTTGATACATCAACTAACAGGTCACCTTCCTCATTGAGTCCAAAAGAGCACACATCGTCGGCCGTCTTGTTGTGATGGGTGGCAAATGAAATTGGGAGATCTTTAAATCAGTAAAACCTAAAGTTCATGATATTCGCGCCCAACTCAAAGTAGCCTGTCAGAATTTATACGCATATCCACTTGCTCCCGTGTTCCTCCGTGTCTAGACTTGCGTCGGAGTAGCCAAAGTATGTCCCAGTTTCCCGGATAAGGATCAATTCACTTTTCGCTTGGGGGTAAACTTCCGGAATCCGAGAATAGCGGTTGCTGCAATAATTCCATTGACAAGGCTCCATGTAGAGAAGCTCTCCACCACCAACGTCGAAAGTGAACTCAACCTTAGAGAATGAACTCTAGTTAGGCTACCGTCCCGTGTGCTCACTTATTAACGCTCGTATCGCACAACTCGTGGAGCGCGGCTAAGACACGAGCTCTTCTCATTTAGGCTCTTGGGGCAAAGGTTCCAGGAACGACATACCCTGGAACTAGCACTTGACAGCTCCGATTTACGCTATAAATTGACTGCTCTAATGGCGCTGACACACCGGCGCAGCTTGGCAGGGTTTAAGTTTATGGTGGGTATGCGTTTTGTATTGGCGAGGGATCGGCTTTCAAAAGTACCATTAGCTTCGCTTGGATATCCTGATAATGTAAACGATTTGCCATTAGTTGAAGGGACCCCTTTGAAGGTAACTACCCGTGACTTAACCCGTAGAGGAAGGTTCAAATGATAGCATATATATCGTAGCTCATGCCATTCGTCTGGTTGAATGTGCTATTTCACTTCTGAACCTAGAAATTCAAGGGATACTCAACATGCCTGCTCAAACCAAAGAAATCATTGCCGCCCTTGATGCTGTTCAGCCCGAGGCGTTTGGCGGCAACGAAGTAGAACGGCTGCAAGTACGCGCTGCAGCGCGTCGACTGCTAGCCAGGGTGGAAACTCCCTACGAGCGCGCTTGGGGCTTCTGCTTTGAACATCCTGTCGTTTTTGCCGCACTGCAGACATGCATTGACCTAGGCCTGTGGAAATCCTGGACTAGTCTTGGAGGTGGCGAGAAGCATCTCGACGAGCTGGTCAAGCTGGCATCCCCTAACATCGAAACAAACCTGCTGCGTAAGCCTTTATCCTCATACTAGCATGTTCAGTGAAGGCTTACGGAGCGCGTACAGGTCGGCTCTTCCGCTTATTGGCAGCCTTTAACGTGGTCGAGGAGACAGCGGAAGACAAATTCAAGCCGACTCCGTTTTCGTACGCTATCGGCGATGAGAGTACCAAGGTTCGCGCCTCTCTTCAAGCTGCGTAAGTGTACCCCGAGCTACCAGGCCCATGTGCCACACTGACGTTTTGACCAGAACAAATCAATACATCGCTGCTGGCCTTAACTTGCCGGCCTACCTAGCCAAGACCTCCTACAAGGAACCTACAGATATCAACGAGAACAACCATTCGGACAGTGATCCGGACGGTTTCAACTTCTTTGGGCGGTTGCAGAAAAGCCCCGCTTACTTTGAGGCTTTCACCGGTCATATGGAGGCATGGACAGCATGGAAGACTCCGTGGACCAAGGTCTACGATACAACCAGACTGCTAGATGGTGCCAAGCTGGACAATGGTTCTGCATTCGTGGTTGATGTCGGTGGAAACACCGGGATCGATATTTCCCATGTGCATGTCAAGCATCCGGATATTCCTGCCGGATCGCTAGTCTTGCAAGACCTTCCAGAAGTGATTGCCAATGCTCAGGTCAATAAAAAGATCACAGCTATGGCCCATGACTTTTTCTTGCCGCAGCCAGTGAAAGGTAAGTGACAGTTCGGTTAAGAAGAGTCGGGTCTGCCTACTAATAGCCAACACCGCAGGGAGCCGTGCTTACTTTATGCACGCGGTTCTTCACGATTGGCCAGACGACAAAGCTAAGCAACTGCTAGAAAATACCAGAGACGCAATGGTAAAGGGGTACTCCAAGCTCTTCGTCTATGATATTGTTCTTCCGCCAACAGGAGCGAGCATCAGCCAAACCACGATGGACGTGAACATGATGTCGCTTCTATCAGCTTCTGAACGGACCCAAGGTGCATGGGAGAGGCTTTTGACCGACGCTGGCTTGAAAATTGTCAACTTCTGGCCTGACCCTCAGGAGTATGAGATGGTCATTGAAGCTGAGATCGCGGACTTTTCAAATGGTCATTGCACTCAGTGTTTAGACACCCAGGTACAGAGAGCAGGTGTTACAAGTCAGACTGAGACAAACGTTAATGCCTAGTTTGTTTCTAAATCAATGTTACGATTCTTGTTCCAGGGCGCCTCATTATACCGTGTTCTAGATGTATGTGCTCAGGTCAAATTCGAAAACATCCCCCGTACAGGTCTTTCGTTCTCGCAGGTAAACAAAAAGTTTGACGTATTGTCCAGCCGAGACCTGGAGATTGAATAGTGCCAGCCGAAGTATCAAGTGCACTTTCTCGGTATGGTGTATGCATCCGCCATATTAGAGACAATGGAACTCTAGATCGATCCATTCGTGATCTTCAGACTCCCTGCTGGGTTCAGCGCAAAGAAGTTATGCTGCCAGTAGGCGTGGGCTATTAGGCTTAGACAAAGGATATTCGCACCGGATTCGTGCTTGAGTTGTAATGGGTATGAAAATCAGTGTCACTCTATGTAGATACTTGCTGTACTCTCTAAGCAGTTGAAGGTAAGGGTCATTATACGCTCTCAGTACTTAGAATAGATCAAGCAAGATAGAGATATTCCTCGAGATATATTTCTACTTGTACATTTCTATCTTCTCTCCTGTCAAAATCATATGTGTTTTCGCATCTTGACCACTCCTTCATTGTGCCCCTCACATCCTCCCTTCCTTCCCCTCTTTCTTTCTTTCTTCCTCCTTCCTGTTTCTCTTCTTCCCCCTACGACCATCGATCGCCCTTTCAATCTCCTTTCATCTCTCTTCGCTCAGCACGATTCGCCGTATTTGGTACTCGGCCCCGCAGTCGGGACCTTGGTGTTCCCTTCTGAGCTGTCGATCGCGACCCCAATTCCTGCGCCGCGACGACGCGCAGACATCGCATCGGCTCCCCATACCAACCTCCCACTCTCCCCTCGGCACCCACATACCTTTCTCGACCGTTACTCGCGGCGTCCATTCCACCATGAACGAACCCACTCCCTCACCCAGTCCTGCCACCGCGCCAAAAGCCTCACCCCTCCCAAAACAGCCTCCCACGCCCACCACAGGCACCAAGCGCAAACGCAGCGCCCCTAGCAAATACTATGCCGTCAAGGCGGGGTTCAGTCCAGGCATTTACTTTGGATGGCAAGAGTGCCTGGCTCAGATCACGGGGTACAAGGGCGCAATTTGTGAGTGCCCTCATTCGCAAAACTAAGCTGGTCCGAACACTCACACCAAGAAACTCCTGCAGTCAAAGCATTCCCTACACACGAAGAAGCCACCGCATTTATCAAGGGTAACAGCCTTCCTTCCGCTCCCGGGGCTAGCTCGAATGGCGGACCACCCAGGTTCTACGGGATACAACGAGGTCGCGTACCAGGGGTGTACACGGATTGGGCAAAAGCACAAGAACAGATTCGCGGGTTTACACGGCCACGGTATCGAAAGTTTCCCACCCGGGAAGAGGCGGAGGAGTTCGTGAAGGAAGGACAAGAGCAGCGGCGTGCACCTGTTGGATTTGGCGAGCCTTCGAAACTCCCTGGAGGTGCAGGCATGATAAATGGGAATCCAAAAGATGCGGACGGTGTCGAATATCCAGCCGGCGACGGCCCTTTGCCACAGGGTGCGGAGGACGGGTTTGATCCTAATGTGTTATTGGATCCGGCGACGGGCAAGGTGGTTTACAAGACGGCGCCACAGAAAGCCATTACAAAGACACAGCCCGCAGGCATCCCAGGAATGTTACGGATATACACAGACGGGAGTTCGTTGCGAAATGGAACACCACTGGCGTCGGCAGGGGTGGGCGTATATTTTGGGCCCGGGGACTCAAGGTTTGTCTTGCGTCTCCTGAGATGCTCCTTCTTTTCCTTCTGACTTACATCCTTCATCCTAGCAGGAACGTTTCGGAGCCATTGAAGGGCAGTCGCCAGACGAACCAGCGTGCGGAGTTGACGGCGATTCTGCGGGCGATTGATATTGCACCCCGCCATCGCGATGTCACCATCATCACGGACAGCCGGTATGCGATTGACTGCGTGACGGTGTGGTTTATCAACTGGCGCCGCAACAATTGGATGACCAAGGACCGTAAGCCGGTGGAAAACAAGGACCTGGTCGAGTCGATCCTGGTCAAGATCGAGGAGCGCACCGAACTGAAGGTCAAGACGCTGTTTGAATGGGTCAAAGGCCATAACAAACATCCAGGCAACGAGGCAGCCGATCAGCTGGCGGTCCAAGGAGCCCAAGAGGGTGTGTCGGCCAAAGTAGAGGCGCGAGAAGCTAGCCGTGGTATTCCGGACGAGGTATTGGAGGAGGATTTTTAGTCTGATATGTAGGTGGCAAATAATGACCATTCAGTGACTGTACTGCCCAGGTACTACGGTCTGTACCTTAGATCTTGGCCACGGTCGGGACGAGCCGGTCTAAAGGATTTCTCCCCACCTCAAACTTTTTTCTTTCTCACCACACACCCTGTGCTCAGTATTAGTGATTTAGTCCGCAACTAGCCCAGCCTGGATCTTGCGATCAAACGCTTTCACCAGCCGGGCACATCTCCAACTTCACCCATGATCGCCCTGCTCCACGCCATCCAGATCCGCCATACGATGATTCGATAACATTCACTGAGACCTTGTTTTTCACTATCCAGCAGAGCCCCAAAGAGCCCGGACAATGCCGACTCTCGCTCTCATCAACTTCAACATTGTCTGCGCGACACTTGGAGGCTTCATCTCCCTCTTTGGGCTGGTCTCCTACTTATGCAAGGAACGCTTCTACCTTTCCGAAGCCTGTAAGTGTGTCTTTTTTTTTTGGTTCTTGTTATGCCGATCTTCCTAACTGGGATAAAGTGATCTCCCTGCTTGCAGGCGTAGCCTTCTCCCCACACGCAGCAAATTTCATCCGACCAGAAGACTACGCTCTTCACTCAGCGGCGAATCTCGACGCCATCACTCTGCATTTCACCCGCCTAGTCCTGGGCGTGCAGCTAGTCCTTGCGGGGGTGCAACTTCCCAAGCGTTATCTCCAGATAGAATGGAAGAGCCTGTCCTTACTCCTGGGGCCGGGCATGGCCGCCATGTGGATTTCCAGCAGCCTGATCGTTTACGCCATGGTTCCGGATATCCAATTTCTGCATGCCCTGATAGTGGGTGCGTGCGTGACGCCCACAGATCCCGTGCTGTCCAATTCGATTGTCAAGGGCAAGTTCGCCGATAAGCACGTCCCGCGTCCGCTGCAGAGGATTATCATCGCCGAGTCCGGGGCTAATGATGGACTTGGATATCCGTTCCTGTTCTTTGGGATTTACTTGATGAAGTATATCGGAATGGGAGGTGAAGGATATAGCGGCGGTGCTGGGACGGCGATTGGGTTGTGGTTTTATGAGACGTGGGTCTATACCATTCTGCTCAGTGTCGCCTATGGCGTTGTTGTGGGATGGCTTTCGAGGAAGCTTCTCCACTGGGCGGAGGAGAAGAGATATGTTGATCGGGAAAGCTTCCTGGTCTTCGCTCTCGCTCTCGCGGTGAGTTTCGCACACCAGTCGGGGTAGATGAGGCCGTTGCTAATTTTTATTCTAGTTATTTATCGTGGGAACCTGCGGTCTGATTGGAACAGATGACCTTCTGGCATGCTTCGTCGCCGGGAATGTGTTTACCCAGGAGTAAGTTGTCTGCTCGTGGCACATGGCGCCAACCTGAAACTGACAGTAAAGCAGTGACTGGTTTCGTCTGGAGACAATGGACGACTCGCTGCAGCCGACCATCGACATGCTGCTCAACCTGGCGGTTTTCATGTGGTTCGGCGCAGTATGCCCGTGGACTCTCTTCTTGAAAAACGACGTCATTCCCATCTACCGGCTCATCTTCCTAGGTGTTCTGATTCTCCTTGTGCGCCGACTCCCCGTCATTTTCGCCATGCACAAATACATCCACCAGATCGAGCATGCACGACAAGCCGCGTTTGTGGGGTTCTTTGGTCCTATCGGCGTTGGAGCCATCTTCTATCTGTCTATCAGTCGAGAGTTCCTGATGGAGATCACGGTTGACGGACACATCCGAGAAGACGCAGAGAAGGTCTCCGAGACTGTGAAGATAGTAGTCTGGTTTCTGGTCATTTGCAGCATTGTGGTCCACGGCCTCTCGGTCCCGCTTGGAAAAGCCGGATATCATCTCCCAAGGACAATATCCAGTGCGATCAGCACCAGCATGGATGAGCAGCCGGAGGCGGTGCCCATCGACAACTTCCGACGCACGCACAGCACGGCGACTACGCGGCCCGACGGCGCAGAACCGAGCCGTCGGACTCGTAAGCGCGATAGCGAGCGGGAAGAGCCTCCGCGGCCGCCTCTTTTCCGGATCGGTCGCTCGGTGATTCCTTCTCATTCGCCGTCGAGCGAGATTCGGTTTGGTGTCGGTCAGGAGGGTGAACCGGAACGGCCTGTGCATTTGGTTATTCGGGAGCCTGAGGGCAGCGTCTCTAATGAACAGCAAGAGAGATCTGCGCCTGGCGCTTGAGGGACTGTTGAGCTGAGAGCTAGATCTATGATGTGAGAGGGTGTGTGAGAGGGTGTGGTTGTGATTTAGATGTTTTAAGAGTGATGCTTTATTATGTTTGTGATGGTTGCGAGAAGACGATATGTCGAGAAAAGAGTTCATGTATATAGAACTGCATTTATAGACCTAGTTCAAATGCATGTCAAGATCTACATCTAATTCGTAGACCGAGTGGAGTACATAGACTAGGACGTACGCACTATTCTCCTCAACCCCACAAGCAGAAAAGAGACCAAATCAGGAATGCTATGTGCTAGGTATTCAAAATAAGCATCGAAAGGGACGAGCCATGCCCATGGAAAGATAGACTGGATAGTAAAAAATACAAAGAACATTCAACGTAACCGAGCTCAACCCCGAAATCAAACTGCGCCAGCCAGATCCAGCTCATCAATACGGTTATCCTAGTAATGTCAAGCCCCAAAGCCATATATCGGTAGAGATTTCTCCCTACGCGGGCAGAGAGCACAAAAAGAAATAACCGGGAAAGCACAAAAGCATCTTGAGCATGGATCGGGGCCAAAGTACTCAAAAACAATGCACAGGGAAAAGGTCGACAGCTCCTCATCCTCGTCTTTCATTTCTCCATAGTCCCCCACTCTATTCTCCATCCTCTTCACTCTTCACTCACATGCATCCCTTCCCCCCATTGAATGAATGCTTGGATATCGTTACACATTATGCTGAAAAGCAAATATGGTGACTTTTGGCATGGACGTGTGTGGGCTCGTATATCGTAAAAATGAAAACAAAGCTCCTCAAGACATAATCTTACTTGCTCTGATCATGCAGCTCGCGCGCACGACGCGAAAGCGGCGCAATCATTCGGAGAATCGGGTCGTGGGGGTTGCGCTCGGCAACGGTCATGTACAGGTTGTTAAGACGTTGGCTCAGGATATCCATGATCCGGGGCGCGACTTCGCGGAGATCGTTGTCCTGACAGTGTTAGTAATTGGGGTTTGATAGGGTAGGTGGACAGTAACATACCCTGGCATCGACGGTCTGGAGGACGACTTCCAGCCAGGAGAGACGCTGAGAGATGTTCGTCTGCAGAGATGAGGTGACAGCGACGCCCACGGACAGCGTCATGATCGGCGAAAGGCGGGCCAGGTAGGATGGGGGCACGCGGACGAAGAAGTTGTCGAACAGGTCGGCCTGTTGCGACGATTGCAGCCACTGAAGGTTCAATATTAGCAACAGCTATGAAACAAAAGAGGTGTAACGAACTTTGATAGATCCCTCCTCGAACTGCCCGGCGTTGATCAATTGCATAATCTCGGTCAGTTCAGCTTCCTCAGCGCTCCTCGGGGGAGCAGACAGGGCCGCAGCAGGGACGGGACCAGGGGCCGCGGGAGGCGGCGCAGCTCGAGATGCCGCCTGCGGTGGAGGAGCGCGCGCGTTGGTATCGCTTGGACGGGAAGCTGAAGCGGCGACCGAAGCGCGTTTGACATTTGCGACTGGACTCTGGCCCTGTCCCTGGCGCTGGGTGACAACCAGAGAAGCCACAGTGTTCGAAAGATCCCGCAGCATGACCGACATCTCCTCAATCTTCGCATTATCACTCTGGCGCTGCGCCTCGTAGCGCTTGATCTGGGCCTGGAAATGGTTTTCCATGTCTGTCTCGGCCTTCTTGGTGGAACGCGCCAGGTTCTGGATCAGGGGAGCGATAGAGCTCTGCACAGTCTTGGACACCTCAGCCTCAACACGAGGTGCAACCTTCTGAGCGACTGAATCCGAGACGGATTTAATCACCGCTGGCTGCTGCAAGGCATTGGTCACCGCCTTGGGAAGAGCCTGACGAAGTTCGTCTGTGATAGTTGCGCCAAGATGCTGGGAGACGATGCTGTTCAGCTGCTTGCCAGCCGCGGTGGTGGCGGCATCAGTGATAGCAGGAACCACATCACTCTGGATGCTGCTGGAGACGATGCGAGCCAGATTCTGCTCTACATTGTCAGACAGCGTACTGGAGACCAGCCGCAGGACTTGATCCTGCTTTGCAGATGAGGCAGCATCCCAGCTGCGACGCTCGTCGTCAAACCGACGGTACAAGTCTTCAAACTCGCGCCCAAGGCTCTTATTGAACTCACTAGAAACGCTGTTTTGGAGCGTCTCGAGATGCTTGTTCAAGGTGTCGGCCGACAAACCACTAGGGAGCGCAGAGACGACACCAGGTTGAATGCCACGGTCCGCCGCCTGAGTTGCATTCATAGCAGCGGTGGACGTGGACGAGGCAAGTGTTCCGTTCTTTGACTGCTCACTGGGCAGCGTTTCGACACCAACAGTGGCGGTAGGTTCTTTTGCCTTGGCTTCGGCAGCGGCTTTCTTTTTCTTCTTCTTTTCAGACTTATCGGTTCCGCTGGGTGCCTCAGGCTGCTCCTCACCACCCTTCTTCTTGGATTGCTTGGTCGGCGATGTGTTGCGCGAAGGAGTAGCACCGCTAACCGATTCGGCAATCTCCACTTTCTTCGGTGGCTCTTTGGTGGTCGCACGAGAAGGAGTAGAAGCCGAATCACCATTGATAGACGGGTCGTCAGTAACGTAGCTGGGGAAGGACTGAAGTTCGCTGATTTCGATACGGCCTTCTCCCAATGCATCGACAGGACGGATGACCTTGTTATCGGACGTCCAGCCCAGGTCTTCCTTCTTGATGGTCAGGCAGGTGACCCCGCGCGAATGCATCACATAGAGCTCAAATAGACCGGTGTCCTCAGTACCACGGCTGGATTTCGTGATGGGAAGAATCTCCAAGCTTCGCAGCTGGCCCTTGGACCCAAGAGAGATCTCCCGGATGCCGCTCAGACAGGCGGTAGACTCGGGCTTCGGAAGAGTACTGTCCTTCTCACTGGCAGCTCTGATATACGCCGTCTGCGTCATCTGTCCCAGATTATACCGAGGGGCAGACAGGTGAACAAAGTATATCGAATTGCGAGTGGGATGTCCAACGACAATAATCCCCGATGATGGATGGTAGTTGACGCTGCATATGGCGTCCGACTCGTTCTCGTGCGGGAACTTCAGCTCTTGCACAGCCTTGCCCAGCCCAATATCCCAGAGCTGTAAGGTGTGGTTTTGCTTGAGCCCGACCAGAACATAGCGGAGTGCCATGTTCTTTGAGTAAGCTCGTAGTTTGTCGATGAACAGCACCGACGTGGGCCACGACTTCTCCGCGGGGGAGCCAGTCACAAACGTGTTGAGCGGGACTCGGACCTCATTCAGATTCGATACGACACCGTCGATGAAATTGGGGTCATCGAGGACATCGGAGATGTCCCAGAAGCGCAGTCGGCCGGTCTTGTCGAGCGAAGCGATGATGGTATCGTCGTCACTAAAGGCAAAATCCTTACCGGCTTTGCCAGTTGAAATCTTCAGGGCACGCTCCTTCAGGAACTTCTCCGTGTTGACCGTGCGCTGAGAACCAGTGACGCCGTATTCAGAGTTCATCGCAGCCCGGGGAGACACGACATAGATGTTCTTTCCCCGACCGATGGCGAACAGATCGGGATGACGAGTGCTCCGCTTAGCCCGCGTTTTCAGCTGGCCGCCGGAGGTGTTCTCGTCAGAGGCCGGGAAAGGAGGGAATATCAGACTCTCGCTCTCCAGAGCATCCAGATCAAACAAGTCTTTGTCGTAGTGAGAGATTAACGCCCAGTACACGGCGCCACTGACTCCAATTCCAAGGATTGCCTGCACCTCGGAGGCGCCGGTGGCAGACGGCGACGTACAGAGAGCGACATTGAATATCCGGTCACGAGTAGAACGGAAAACCTGGCGATCACTGCCATCGTCCTGTCGAATAATTCTGATACCCCCAGTCTTGGCGAGGGCGTAAACGATGTATTCAGAAGTTGCCGCGGTCAGGGACCGATCCAGCTGATCAAACTCCTTTTTCAGGCGAGCAATGTCCATGACTCCATCATCACGGAATGTCGGCAGCTTTCCGGATTGCGACTTCACGGCGATGGTAATGAACGGCCGGAGAGGGAAGTTGTGGACGGAAATAACGCGCTCTTCCTCCTTTTCAGCACTATCCTCGGCACTCTCCCAGCTATCAGCCAGAGCTTCGGCATTTTGATTCGCATCCTGTCCAGCGGGGGCTGCAGTGGCGTCTGTCGCGGGTTCCGCGGCTGCCTGTTTCGCTTCGCCGGCGGTCTCTCGCAAGTGACTGGCAACAGACGATAGAACCCCCTGGGTCGACTGCTCCGGATCGGTGGGAATAGAAGCTTTCGCTGTGGGCTTAGGTTCACTGCCGCTGAGTGAACGGCCAATCTGGTCCACGAGACGACCGACGACGTCATTTACAGCCTGCTGCTGTGCCTCATCCAAAACAGGGGGACTCGCTCCTGTCTTGATTCTCGGCAGACTCAAGCACAGGGGTGGACTCAGGATTAATCTTCTGCCTCTTAGTCTGGGACACCTTCGGCTGGGTCTCAGGGGTATGCTTGGGCTGCGGGGACTTGTTACGAGGCGAGACGGCGGCCAATTGATCAAAGGGGTTGACGTAGGTAAACAACGACTCCTTGGAAGGAGGAGATGCGACCTTTTCGGGTTTCGCAGGCTCCACTGGAGTAGACTCCATGACTTCCATAAGGGTTTCCTTGGTTTCCTGAGGACGCAAAGCCTCAGCCAAAGCCGGCGATTCTTCTCCGTCGAGTCCCACAGGCTGGTGCCGGTTGAGCAGACGAAGCAACATCTCCTGGGTATTCTCGCTGGGACCAGCGGCATTGGCGGCGGATTGACTGGGCTGCACCGGGGGAGCAGCAGCAGGGGCAGCCTGCTTGCCGAACAGAGAAGCAACAAAGTCAGACGCGGAAATGTTTCGCTCGTGCGGCGAGGCGGCTTCCTGGCCTGGCAGGGACGGAGGCTGCTCGATCGGCACCTGCGGCTGCGCAGCAGGGCTGGCAACCTGCTTAAACTTGAGGAGATTCAACAAGTTTGCGGCGCGGTCGGGCTGGGCTTGCTGTGGCTGCTGCGGAGGCCACTCGTTGCGAGGCGTCGGGACATTGGGGCTCAGAATGTCAGAGCCGTGGTGAGGCGGGGTATTGACAGGCGCAGGGCTTTGGATATTCGAGGAGACCGAAGGATGGTGGTAGCCATGAGGCTGGGGGTAGGCGAAGCTCTGTCCGTCGTATGGCTGCTGCTGCTGTGGGTGCGGTGGGAACATACCCGGATGCTGGTACTGCGACGGACGCTGAGGCTGGGAGGTATCCTGGCCGGCAGCGTTGGTCGGAGAAGGACGAGGCCGGATGCTGGCCAGCAGAGCCTGAAGATCGTTGGGGGTGGACATTTCTGTCGCGCGCCTGGGATGACAGGCGACCTCCGCACGATCTGTAGCTCTGTAGCGAAAGCTCCCGAGAGCTCTCTTTCGAGAGGGAGAGGAGGGTGAAGGGGAGGGAAACACAGAAGCTGGGCAGTACCAGAGAGTGACAGACAGAAGGCGGAAACGAGAGATGGGAGATCAATGAAGGAGTTGAAGGGGTGTGAGAAGAAGGAAGGAAGGAAGAAGAAAAGCCAGCAGTTGGAGAAGCACAAAATGCCAGGGCTGGCGGTAATTCTGGTTTACCGTCAGGTTACCGTCACAAATGATGACTGTGCACTCTCTCGCCTCTTCTTGCCCGGCATCAGCGGGAATCAAGGAACTCCCAACATTCGGTAGTTTATACCTGACTACCTCTGTACCTACTGCCATACACACCTGCTATCTCTTTGTGCGCTTCATCCTACCCCAGCCCGCGGGCTGCCAACATCCACCACCATGTTTTGCCTCCGAAGGTAAGAAAGATCCTACTCTCGTTCCAACAAACCTAACTAATCTCGCTATTTCCAGCTGGTTACCACTTCTCTTCATTCCTACCAACGCATCCCCTCTGTTCATCATCTCCTTCGTCGCCCTAACCTATATAATCCACCGGCCATGCATCTACTGTTCAGCCCTGTTGCTGATTCTCTTCATCTCGTCCTGTCACTGGGCAGACCGCTGCATCTTTGATTTGCGCAGCAACTGGTTTGCGCCGCGCTACAGCTCCACACCTGATTACTATCCCTCAATCTCGGGCAACGGCACCTCTGCGGCAGTGGACCCCAATGAGAGTCTGGCTGGGTTTGTCTTTGAGACTCTCAATTCAACAGCCAAGACGTTAGCGGGCGCTGCGGTCGATGGTGTACAACAGCAGCTAGCTTCGCGCGGACTGGAGTCCAGACCGGAGGAGTGGACGGGCGTGGGCTTGGAGTGGTTGCGGAGTCTCCTCGGGCGTCGGGAATGGACTCTTCCCTGCGTGGATGTCAAGGTTCGCCTATGAGTTAGGCGGATGATCAAAAAAGAAAAACCTTGAATTATGGGGGAAAGCAGGGCTGGTCTCTCCATCCCCCCGTTCTGATGGGGGAAAGCACGTGCATTTTTCATGTCCTTTGGACTATTGGGTGGTTTTCATCTTTGGCTAGGAGGGGATAAACTGCATGGGTTCCTCGCACCTGTTCGTTTCATTGCTACTGTATATACCTTGTTACCATTGTATTCATTAGACTGCCAGAGAACCGCGGAATAGTTTACGGCAGGATCCCGGTGTCACTTCACTCTTGAATTTGTGCTACAAGTAATGCCTAGCTCAGCAGCCGAAGATACATGGAATCCATTACATTTCAAGCTTCAACAGGAGTGTCGCCAATCGTAATAGACCAAAGAGAGCAAAGAAAAGTTACAGCTTAACCCTAACTAAACATAACATGCTAACACATAGACGGATGTCCTGTTCAACGGCCTCAAGCATTAACCACTTGGGGTGTAAGCGTAGAATTCGATGCCGAGCAAAGGCCCAGTGCAGACAGAACGTTGGCTACGAGAGGGATACAAGCAGCGCAAGAGCAGATCTAGTTTACCGCATATATCAACGTCCGGACACATTGGGGATATTAAAGATTGTACACATATGTATACATACCTCGCTGACGCTATTCGAAAGACATTTCTGCAAAGCAGCGGAATCGCCGCTCGCAATAGCTGAAATGATACAAGTGATCTCGCCGGTCAAGCCGAGACACGAGCCCAGGCTGCAGTTGGGCGGAAGGAGGTTGTTGTCGACGACTGCCCTGTTCTTCTCTTGCACTGAATATCTCTTGGTTAGCATATTCCTCAAGCAATTCCCCGTCAGGCTGACATACAAGTAGCTTCATGGACCCGCTCCACCAGCACTGGGGGCGTTGCCACGGCGGAGGCCAGGCCCGAGGCGAGGACGAGAGCGGCGATGTTGAAGAAGCGCATTGTTAATTCTCTCTTCTTAGATCTAAAGCTTGGCAAGTAGGTTTATTCATCCATGGCTCGTCTGAGAAGGCACTTTATATAGCGAATGCCCGGTTTCACTTGAGTTGGTCGTCTGCTCAAGCACAAGACCAAAGACAGACCTGCTCAGCGAAGAAGCTAACCTTGTAGTCAATGTGACACCTTTTCGGGGCAAAGACCTGACCAAAGGAGACGGAGTGAGGTCGAGGGAGGTCACACCGGGTTGCATTGGGGATTCTCCCGACGGAGCGGATGCTACCTGTGGAGTGAATTGGAGAGGAATGACCAGGATGCAATTTGATATTCGAGGGCCTAAGGTACCTGAGGAGACGGCAATGAGCGCTGTTGAATAAGCTGCACTTCGCTACACAATAAATAGACACTGAGTGACGCATTTAGGAAGGAAACTCCATGTGAAGATAATTATCGGACATCAATTATATGCTAAGTACATGGCGGAGAGGTATCTGACAATTGAGCACATACACAGAAAAACACACCAACGGGGTCTGGTGGCCCAAGCAAGCACACGCCAGGCAGATCGTAACGCCCCAACGTTTACTTGAGGATCGATAGATCATGTGAACAAGTGCCAACATACAAGACATGGCACCCGCGGAGGAACATGGCAGAAGCAAAGGGTGAATCGTGAAACATGACTCGGAGAATGTGGTATCACAACGTCGAAGGTTCTGTTCATCGTGACGGAAACAAGCTGACGTCTCGAAGAGTCCGAAGGAAGAATGGCGTATGTATGAGAAAAAAAAAATAATCAAGCAAGAGGGAAACACAAGCCGGGGAATCAATCAATTAACTCAGTTGTAGCCACCTCCCACGGGAAGGGGCCAGTCGTCCTCGGTGATACTGCTCCAGAAGATCCAGAGCAGACCAACAGAGAGCAGCGTAAAGAGCGTTTCAAACAGGGCGCCGTTAATTTTCCCATTTGTGCCCTGGCACAGATGGGTGCTGACCACGTACTGGAAGACCTGGCCGATGGCGAACAACAGACCAGCGCCGCTCAGATAGACTAGAGCAGGAACCGTTAGCAAGCAAATACTCCCTTGGACAGGGGCCACACATACTCATTGGCCGGAACTCGCCCAGCACCGAGAGCACCAGAATGGCCTCCAGGACGAAGAAAAAGACCAGGCAGACCAGCGGGAAGAGCTGGTACAAAACATAGAGGCCGATATTGCGGTTGTCACCGAAATGGCTAGGCTCAAAATGACCGGTCCAGTTGAATCCCGTGTCTAGAGCAATGTACCCAGTGCCAATGAAGAGGATCGCGGCAGAGACACAGATCAGACCGAGAGACATCGGAGTGCCATCGTCAAGCAACTGAAAGCCCACCAGCGCATTCAAGAGCAGAATCCAACAAGTGGCAGCGATTGCCGCGACATGCACCGCAGAAAATCCCTAGATCACCCTTTCGTCAGCCAAGAATTCCCGCCTTATTTTCTTCCACGCGCGAGGAAAATGCGCCGAGATAGTCTCCTACCTTCCGAACCGCATCTTGGAGCGGGAAGCCGCCGACCGTGAAGATCTCGCAAATCTCGATGATGATGAATCCCAGAAGGAACAATTGCATCTCACTGTTGAACACCCGCGCGTCAGTTGATCTTGCCCGTGGCCAAAAACACAGGGTCTGACGGTTGGGGGGTTGCATACCGTCGCCCGACGGCGGCGTGCTTCTTGTCCGACCTCCAGATCAAAAACAGCGAAAGCAAGATGGCGATGAAAGCCAGCAAGATGGAACCTGTCGTCCGTATCAGCCGACCGTCTTTCTTCCGAGATTTTCCCGATCCTACCTAAATTGCTGAGATGTCTACCCCCGCTCAACTCGATGCCCGTGAGCGCGCAGCCGCCATAAGGGGCCCCAGGCGGAACGTTAATTTTGAAGAGCTGGAGCGCGAGGCGAGTCAGTGTTGATTCTTTTGAGAGAGGAGAAGGGTCTCACGGACATTGCAAACGGGCAATGTCGAGTCGCGACAAAAGTCCTGTCATACCCAGCGGCGGTCAGTCTTTGTTGATGGTGGTATCCCGGTAGATCCGCGGGGACGAGGCACTCACGTGGAAATTCCCGAATTGAGTCGACCCCATGGTGAATTGAAGCGATCAGGAGGACGCGAGAAAACGAGTGGTGAGAGGGTGTTAGGGATGACTAGAATGAATCAAGCCCCCTGACCCACGCGGAGAGCCAGCCACGGCCAGTAGAGAATCGCTGGAGAGAGTGTGGTGGTGCGACAGACAGACGATGATGGGAGAGGAACTTCTCCCAGGGGAGCGCAAGAAGAACAAGAATGGGGATGTGAAGCGACACAAAGAGTGGAGAAAGAACTAAACAAGGCAGAGACAGAAAGAGAGCGAGAGAGTGTGGTGAGAGAGGCTAGACTGGCACTAAGGACGAAGAGCGTTAGTGACCGGGTGGGAACAGGGACACTGGCTGGCCCACCACCACCCATGGTAATTCCAGAAATTATTAATAGCAAACGACGGAAATGCTTGCCATGTACTACATAACTATTCGAGGTACATGCTTCCCTAGGTACCTAGTCTACTATGGCGGTACGATGGAGGTACCTAGAGCCATGTTGACTACATTCATCGGGACCATCTCCATGCTGCAGGACCGCACAGACAGTTAGGGTAAACACTCCGGCCACCTGCAGTGCGGATCACCCCTAGCCACAACTTGAAGGCCCTTGCACCGAGGATGGTGGGGACAAATGTGATCTGGTAATTTGGAGGACGAGACAAAGGGTTGCCCAGGATATATCCCTCCCAGTAGAGAGACTCAGTAGTAGTACCTCTAGGGCTTGGTTTCTCTCTCCCAGCGCCCTTGTTCAATCTATGGCTCCCGTGAAACAATTCATTTGGTCTCGTTTCCAATCCATCGCATCCAGATTTGAACCAGGGGCTTGGGGGGATGTTATGCATGGCTGGGAGACTGTGTGGAAATGGAGACATGACACTGCAAGATTCAGCATGCAGGAGAAGAGACAGTCGAGGGGGTTGCATGATCCGATGTCTTAGAAGCCGTCGAAGCACAGCCCTAGAAGGAACTCTGGGTAGTTCCTCACAACAAATATTCGTGTTTCATCCAGCACATCTATCCCCACCAAGAACGTCCACCTCATTTCTCTGGTTCAACCAGCGTGGTAAGGCGTGGAATAAGACATGGTATTGACCTTCATGTCATGCCCAGGATTAGAGCACTTCGTTATGATATGCATGCATAGACGAAACTATAACCAACCGAGTGAATGCAATTTCCCAAAAAGAGAAAATTTTACCGCAGTGTCAAAATGAATTCCCTCGTAAGTCCTACACTCCATTCGACTGGATAACCCTGCTTTGCGAGTTAACAGGTCTACGGGGTCTAGAAAGACGAGGAGCAATAATACTACGAACCCATAAATAATGGAAGAGCTCGATCAAGTCATTGAATAATATACATTGAAACCAACAAAAAAGTTGAGGGAACAGTCACCCCGAACCCTCGGGGGAACAGAGGAATCCAAAATGACGAACCAAGGTAAACATTATAAGAAGAAGAAAATAGCGCGTGCCATGTGGAAAGGGAATCCTGGTAAGTTTGGAAACATTGGCCATTTTAGTCGGCTGTGGGCTCACAGACAACGACCTCACAGCCGCTGTACAGGGATTAAGAATGAAGAGATAAAAAGGGCCCGAACATTATATTCGGGTTGCCATTAGAAGACATACTGCGTCATTGACAGGTTAGTAAACCGGCGTTCCAATGCTTCATAAAGATGTCATCACTTACGGGAATGAAGAGGTAGGGAACGGCCTTCTCATACTCGAGCCAAGCCTCACCGTACTTGGTCCGACACCGTTGGATGTCACGCAGGGCGCGATGGCTGATCATGCAGGCAAAGAAGACCGGGTAGAACCAAGGGAACGGGCTCGAGAAACCGGTGATCAGGCCCCAGTTCAAGGCGAAGTAGAGATCGCAGGTGTAGTGGATCTTGCGGGCCTTGCCGTACCACCCATCCATGAGGATCTTGGAGCCATCGGCCGCGGTGATGGTCTTGGGGTTCTCGACGGTCTGCCAAGGGAGCTGCGGGAACGTGTTTCGGGTCACCATGGTGCCGCGCTCCTGCTGGCGGAAGCGGTTCTTCTGGCTGTTGGTCGTGTCCCAGACCCAATACACGAACAGATATCCGACATAGAGGAAGGCCAGGAAGAAGCGGTTCCAGTGGTAAGTAGCTGGGTCATGGTTGGCCAGGTAGATGGTGCAGTGGCAGTAGCTCAAGGGCACGCCAGCCAGGTTCCAGAAGATCAGCATGAAGCCCCATTTCTCATAGTACATGTCCCTAAATGAGGGTGTTAGTGAGGATCAACGAACCAAAATCAGGAAACTCACCAGGTGGATACAATGCACTCTTCGCCTTTCGAGCAGGCGTTGGCATAGAGGAAATGCGCCATGACGAGGAACATGACCTCGCCAGACACATAGCCATAGACCTCCCACTGGCGAGCGGCGGCACCCATGGACAGGAACAAGAGAATGTACCAGGGGAGGCGCACTTCGAAGAACATCTTGAAATCGAGGATTTCGAACATGCGCGGGTTGAGCTCAGCACCCATGAAGAAGTCATAGATGGGGTAACCAGTCATGCGGTGCTGCGCACCGCGGTACAGGGCCGAGAAGTAGGCGGCGAAAGAGACCAGGTATCCCGACAAGATCGCGACACTAAGTAGAGGCCCGAATTCATCGATGATGGTGTAGAGCTTGAAGAGACCCGTGAAGTGCAGACCCAATGCCAGCGCAATGCTCGTGTAGAAAGACCACACGGCCGAGCAGTAGTACGGCAGTTGCTTGCCGCCCAAGTGCGGCAGTGGCCGTCCCATCATCGAGACACCGGGAAGAAGAAGGTAGCAGGCACCCTCGAAGACAAAGAAAACCCAGTAGATGGTCCAGGCCTTAAGCGATGGGAACGCACCGGTGTATACCAACTGACCCAGATGCGCGAAAAACTCCGAGTAGCTCTGGTCCTCGGCAGGACGAGGGAACTTGCCATTGTAGTAGGTCGCGCCAATCCACATGTAGTACATGAGCATGGGGAATCCAATCATCATGGACAGCACGCCGAGAGAACCACCGAACTCGAAGTGACCACTGTAGTCGACCTTGGGGTCGAGTCCTTCCTCCCAGCCGTCCACAATGCGACTGGCCTTGATCTTCGACGACTTGGACTGGGACTTGGGGGCAGCGGCCTTGCCATTGGTCACGCTCTTCGGGGTGTCCGCCTCCTCCTCAGCCTTGACTTTGCCAGAGGTGCGACGGCGCGTGGCCGACTTGGATCGGCTAGCTGGGGTGTCGGACTCGCTGGCCTCGGAGGCACGAGTGCGGCGGCCAGGCGTCTCAATGAACCCGGGGCGATCCATTTTCCTGTGTAGAAGAGCAATTGCAAGTTAGTCGTGGACTTTTTTCAGAAAACGGCGCAAAGGAGGTAAATAATATACCTCGCGCAGGGTGGATATTGTTCGTCGCCAAGGGGGCAGGGGGATCCATGGGAACCAGACTTACTTGGGAGTTCTCCCCGTTTGGGAGCGTGTCAATGTCATGGTCGCGTATCCGGAAGATGCGATTCCGGGTGATCGGGGGTATTACTGGCGCTGCCGTGTGCGATGCGAAAGGGAAGAAAGAGAGAACCAGTGTAGCGGGAAGGGGCAAAACAAGAATGTTTACTACGGGCCAGGTACTCGCCGAGTACCACGCCGCCCGCGCCAGTATGGACTAGGTACGCAAAAAATACATTGGTGACTAATACCTGACCTGCAGAATACAGGTCCGGGTCGCCTCTTCCGTGGATCCCCACAGTTGTTCGCTGTGCCCTGCCTTTTACAGCGGAACAGTACAATTTTGGAGTGTAGTTCTAGATGATTAACAGACCATGGCAGAGTCTCGGAAGATCTGAGTTCCGTGGTGGTGTGTGTGTGTGTGCATGTATGTCTTTGTGTATGTGAAAATATATATTCGGAATCTACTGACTGCCAACGAGTCTCAATATTGTTCGGGAAAGCATACACACAGAGTGATCTGGCACACCAACAGAACTTCATTGATGTCTAGTTTATTATTGTTTCATTCGTGTAAGAGTCCAATGCTGGCCCAAACAAGCTGGGATGGAATGTGGGTCCTAACAACCGAGATGCAAAAAATCCGAACAGACGTAGATGTGATGTGTGATCTGGAGAACGACGGAAAGACTCCGACGCATATAATGAAACATTGTATAAAAAGAGATGGACACGCCAAGGCTCATGCACCTCTGTGGCTGGTGGTCGACATCAATGTGATCTTGTTCTTCTTCTTCTTCTTTCCGCCGCCACCACTACTCGCGGAAGCCTGCTGGCTCTCGGCAACACTCTGGGCAAGTACGTCAGATTCTTGTTGAGCGAGGAGCTCGTCTTCCCATCCTTGTCGCCACCCGTCGCTGGGCAGTTGAGGCTCCACAATTGGAGAGCTCGAAGCCACTGCTGTCGTCCCCCAAACAGTGCGAGTGCCTGGGCCTGGAGGGCTGGTGGAGGGTGATGCCAATGCTCCAAAGTGGGACGTGGCACGTGGGGGAGAGGCAGATGAGGCGCCGGCGTCAAATAGCGGAGGGTCTGCGGGCAGAGGCTGAAAATCATGGGCGGAGAAAGGCACTTCGCTGGGTTCCCCTCCAATGCTGGGCCTCTTGCGTCGCGCGGCCGCCCATCGCTTGTCATCCTCTTCTTTCTCGGCTCGAATGCGGTCTTTCTCCTCGCGAGCCTCTTTCTCCCGATTGCGCTTTCGTCTCCGTTCGGTTTCGGAGCGGAAACGATCCAGAACCTCGGGAACGACCACATCTCTCCAGTCACACTCAAGAAAGCTCACTTCGCATCCGTGTGGGAGGTGTCCCAGGTATTTGACACGTTTGCGAAGCTCATCGTCAACGATATGACCGCTAGATATGCGTTCGACCCGAGGAAGGATGGTCGTAGGGAACAGGGAATATTCACCGAATGCAGCCTTAAGGATGCGGATGTCAAGGGGCGAGAGGTAGAAGTGAGGCAAGGCTTGGTAAAAGTAATAAGGCTGATCCAACGCGTGCGAAGCTTGCGATTCTTTGTCTTTGCCACGACCCTTGGGTTTAAATCGGGAATTGGGGAGAGGACTCAAACCGGAACCCGAGTTAGAATCCACTTGAAGCTTGCTCATGGCTTCGGCGAGATGATCTGCTTCGACTGACGTTGCAGGGGTGGATATAGCTTCGACCACAGGATGCATCGATTCTGTAGAAGTAGAAGAGGCACTGACGGATGTGTCGATGGGGGGTTTCCCGGCCTTCGCTGGTCGGTTGGCCGACGGTTGCCGTAAAACATCTGGGGGGTTGCCGATGCCCTTGAGCTTCTCTTTCGCCTCTGTGATGGCATTGATCGCCTTTCTGGTCCAGGTGTTCTCATCCCCGAACAAAAGCTCGTCTTCAACTTCTTGTCGGTGAAGATCTTCGATTTCTGCATCGTATTGAGATGTCATATAGTCTTCGCCGCCTTTCATCATCCGAGAGTAGTCGGCAACCTCTGCAACATGGTACCACGGAATATCTTCCTCGGGGCCGAAAGTTTCGGCACTCTCATGAGGCAATGCAAGAGTACTTCCAGGCTCTCGTTTCACCAATCGCAGCACCACATCTCCACCTTCAAATGGAAGGTCACCCTCCTGGCCGCGGAACCATCGGACTGGCCGCGTTTCTGAGATATAAACTATATCCCAGCAAATGGGACACTTCTTCCATCGAGCCTTTTTTTCGGGCGCGGAGTTTTCGTCATCAGACGAGTGCATATACCGAATGAGACATGACAAACAAAATATATGACCACAGCGAGCCATCCGTGGCGCCACCGGTGTTGACAGACAGATAGGGCAGCCGGCGGCTTGGGTTTGAGCAGACACCAACACCTGAAGAACAGAATCCCAATCCAAATGGACATCGGCGTTGGCGGCCTGGGCATGGTAATTCCGGTTTGGTGTCACAATGAACCGATAGTTGGCGTGAACATAGCGAGCCTTGTCAACCACATCTCCCCTTGATGTGTAGCGCCGACGAGGCTGCGGTTGATACTGTGGACGAGGCGGGAGGGAAAAGTTCATCAAATGGGTAATGGACGTCTGTCCCTTGCGGCTGGTGGTTGATCTCATGACTGCTGATTCACTATACTCGTCGTCATCCAACAACCGCGGCTTCCGTTGTCGTTTGTGTTGACTCTTCCGAGCTTGATTGTTCCTCGCCGCTGGCGAGCTGCGCGAAAATAGCCCCGAACCAACGCTTCCCGAGCCACCGGAACGTCGTTGAGAGCCACTATCGGTCGAAGGTGTGGAGTGGAATTGCGCAGACGAGACTGAAGCGTTCGGGATATTTACCGCTTTTGACGAGACCGGGTTCTGTCCTGCATTGGACGACATCTCTTTGCGTTGGTAAACCGGGACTGGATGGCGACTGGTCCTCGAGACGTAGCTTCACTCTCTGACCGCGAGGCTATCGTTCTGGAGGGGTGGGTGTACTCGGACCAAGGCGGGGTATTCCAACAATCACAGTCTGCCCAGCATCCCAGAAGGAGCCAGGAAGCTCGTCACGGAGCAAAATAAGAGGTGAGAGAACGGACAAAACTGGGATCACTCAATGCCGATAACAAGCGTTGGAGGGGTGGTCCAGCCATTACATAAACAGGGGCCCGTGCCCCGGCTTATTCATCCCCCATGAGGGAATCAATCCATGCTGGGAAGGAAGCAATTATTCACTTCTCTCTCTACATGAGCTGCGAGACGAACAACCTTACCTTTTTCTTCTCTCGTACCTCTATCACCTTGCCACCATCCCACCCTGTTGATTCTACGTCGCCCTTCACAGCCGCTGTCTAGGTACCCTAGTCAGTCCTTTTTTTTTTTTTGAGCCTCTGTTCCGTCGGCGCATTTTGATCGATCCCGAATCCCCTTCCCAGCAGCAGACTTTCCACCATCCGTCCAACTGCTCCGTCTGCCGCCATCCCGCGCCTCCTACCGCTGTTTCCGTCCTTGTCCAAAGCCGAGATGGCTGCATAAGTGCGCCTGAGTTTTGACTCATCGTGATTTGACCTCCGCGCATGGCTCCCATTGAGGCAACGCGTGGCTAAACCGTCAAGGCGACTTTCTCTCCCAGTCCGGTCGAAATGAATCACCACTTGCCCGCGATGCCCCATGGGCAGCCGCCGATGCCTCCTTCGAGGCGGCAGCAAGACTACTATTACAACCCAGCACCTCCCAACATGCGCTCTCCGCCGTATATGGGCTACCCTCCGCCCATGAATGGCCATATGCCTACCGCCTACTCGCCGCAGCAGTATCCCCAACAATGGTATCCGCCTCCTGTTCATATGCAAATGCCTCCACGTCCATACCAGCCACCCTATGGACCGATGATTGTGTCCTCATACCCTCAACAGCCAATGATGGCTCCAAACCATATTCCGCCTCAACCGTTGCCGATGCAACAAAGGACCTCGACTCCGCTGCAGCCGAGTATGTCCCCGTCAATGATACCGCCGCCCCTGCAACCTGAGATGCATGAACACCCTGCCGCTCCTTTGCCGGTCCAGGTCCCGCCTCCTCAAACGTATCCCATTGCTTCTCCGCCGCCACAATGGGAGCCTAAAGTCATTTCAACCCCGAGACCTCCATTTTCTGCACCGGTAAGTTTCTCCGGGCATGCTATCTTAATATTTGGTCTGACCCATGATATAGCTCCCTTGGCTCTCTGTCCCAGAGCTTGCTTTCCCTGCTAGGACTCCACACCGACGCCGAAGAACTCGTGCTATGAAATCGGGTGTTGAGCTTCCATCCAAAGATGGGCCGCACAAAGTTGAAAGCGAGCAATACGGTGATAACTTGCGCCTGGACTCGGTGGTTCAGGAACATTCCGAACCAGAGACGCCAACTACCTCGTTTCTTCCCTCGGACACGGATTCCACCCAACCTACGACACCTTCTTCCACGGCCAAATCCCAAACTCAAACACGCAGCTCCAAACCTGCTATTCCATTGGCCCCGCCCATTCCCGTTGTGCCGAATGCCCCTGCCACCCCAAGACAAGCCAAAGATAGTTCCAGTACCGCATCGGAAACGCCCAAGTCCACTGCAGCAGCTGTCACCGAAGTCGACTCCGAGGAAATTCCTGCTACTGGATCCGAAACAAACCAAGCCCCTCCTCACGCCGCACCCAAATCATGGGCGGACTTGGTTCGTGCAAAGGCTAGCGCACGGCCAGCCGTCGCATCTGGTGCTGCAGCAGACTCTTCTATCGCTATGCAGAAGAGTGAATCTCTTGCCGGCGTCCTGAGCAGCCTCGGCGAGGATGTCACCCAGTACAGCGATAAAATTGCTTTTCTTGAGCCCCGAGGCTTGGTCAACACCGGCAATATGTGTTACATGAACTCTGTAAGTCAGGGCGGATTCCTGGTAAAAAGCACCCACTAACCTTGTCTTTAGGTGTTGCAAATATTGGTTTCATGCGTGCCATTCTATCAATTTCTTGACCATATCGGCCGAAGAGCCGCACACAGCTTCCAGAGTGATCTTCCTCTGATTGATTCCATGATTATGTTCATGAGAGAATTCCGTTTCATCGACGCGGCGAGCTCCGAAGACCAGCTGCGGCTCAGACTCAAGCCAAATGAGTTGGAGCAGTACGGCGAAGCTTTCATTCCTGAATTTGTATATGAAATGGTTCGGCAGCTGCCACGCTTCCGGGATATGAAGCGTGGTCACCAGCAAGATGTCCAGGAGTTCTTGGGTTTCCTTTTGGAAGAGATGCACGAAGAATGCGCTCGAGCTGCCAAGCATACATCAGCGAAGGGCGTCGATGCCAATGGTCCTGCTGCGGCCGACGGATCGTCAGATGATGTGTGGCTGGAAGTTGGTCACAAGCAGAAGGCCGCCGTGACACAATCATCCGGTGCAATCGCCATGGAGTCACCGGTGACCAGAATTTTTGGCGGCAAGATCAGGTCGGAATTCAAGGTGCCCGGCAACAAGACGTCGGTCACTCTGGAGCCTTACCAGCCTCTGCAGCTCGATATTGGGTCGCCTGATGTACACAATATCATTGACGCGCTCAAAGGGCTTACCAAGCCGGAAAGCATTCAAGGCGATTTCAACTCGTCCCGCGGCCCCAATGTCACGGCGACCAAGCAGGTGTTCATTGAGACTTTGCCCCCTGTCCTCATCCTTCACCTCAAGCGCTTCCAGTATGACAGTTTGACTGGAGCAACCCAAAAGATCTACAAGAAAGTTGGTTACCCCCTGGATTTGGAGATCCCACGAGAGGTCTTCCCTGCTCATCGGCGCAACGCGATCTTATCTCAAGGAGGACTTCCAAAGTATCGCCTTATGGGAGTGATCTACCACCATGGCAAGAACGCCAGCGGTGGTCACTACACAGTTGATGTTCGACGTCAAGACGGCCGCGAATGGATTCGCCTGGATGACACCGTCATTCGCCGTGTCCGAAGTGAAGATGTGGCGGAAGCAGGCGGCGAGGAAGATCCCAAGGTCCTTGCGGCGGCTCTCGAGCAACACAAGGACAAGAGTCAGAGCCCTAGCGCCAACATTTTCGACCACATTGACCAGAGCGACATGGATTCGGCTGATAGTGAAAAGGGCTGGAGCCAGGTCAATGGCACTAGCGGTGGACCTGCAAGCAAGAAGTCCGTTAATGGTGTCACTTCCTCTTCCGGACCTTCTTCCGGCATCCGAACCCCTCTCGGCAGGTACGGTGCCAGGGATAACCGTGTTGCATACTTGCTGTTCTACCAGCGAATGGCTTGATTTGGTTATGGTGGCATCCAAGCAAGTTATCTCGCTTCTGTTTAATGCCTCTTTTTACACCGAGAGGTTGCTTTTCCTGCTCTATTCAACACGCATTTCAACACCAGCACACACTTCCACCATTTACATTGATTACCTGCATTTGATCCTTCTCCTCAGGGGTCCACACTTTCCATTTTCTATCGACTGTATATACCATGCTCCAATGCTGGCCGGCTTGCAGTTGGCCAAATGTGTTTCGACGACGGAACCATTCATATTGAATGCGGTGGTTGACTCTCACCGCGAGGCTGAATACTGGGTTCTAGGACGCGGCGGGTCCTAGATCTCTTTCTCCAGTCCTCAGTCTGGCCATTTATCTACCGTCCCCGGCCTCTCGGTTGTGACATACCTCGTGTCTCCTGCTCAAGACACATGAACACAACCTCATCCAAACGCACACCTCCATAACCTATCTTTGTTTTAACCAGTTTTCCTGTGATTACCATGATGCCCGGACTCTGCTACCCCCTTACCCATTTTGTGGATCATATGGCCTGTTTTCTTTTCCTCTTGGCTCTTTGATTTCCTGTCTTGTTTGCTTGTTGCTGGGCTGTATCTTATGGGATGTCGACTCTTGTATATATACCCTGCTATTGCTTCCGTTTTTCTCTTTTCTCATCAGGGATACACGCATTTCCAGACCATCGTGCTTTCCCCATCTCGCACACGGATCTGAACACAGACTGGAGGAACCCTACCCTTTTCTTCCCCTTTCTTCCTTGCTGTGACCTTTTTTCTTTTCGCCGTGTGTCGCGTGGGATCGAGTCTGTGACGATGTCATGAATTTCCTTGCTTTTGCCTTTTTGTTACTTGTATTGTTGATCATAGACCGTGGATGTTGGGGCGGCGTTGCCTGTGCATTCAGGCCCGGGGGTTTTTAGGTGGTGTTGGGCGGGGAGAGAGGAGTGAATACTGGAGATGTTGAAGAGAGAGCAGGTGTTTCTCAAGAGGCCAGGGGAGTCATGGGGTTTCAGATGTGATCGGGTTTGTGAAGTAGTTGTTTCTGGTGACTGTCATTTGTGAAGCGATTGAAGAGAGGGAGAGAAGAGAGTGTGTGTATGTGTAAGAGGAAAAAGAGGGAGGGAGCTATCGAAGAACGAGGAAGAGGAGGACAATAATGGATAAAAAGCGTGTCCTTACAGAACCCAAACAAATTTTAAAAGGAAGTTCATTTCGATCTTTATTCTTTCTTTCTGCGTAGACTTCGTACAGTAATTGATACATTTGGTCTCGTCGAGGTGAATGGACTCGATCAAGCATGGAAGACAATATCCGTCTTTTCTTCCGAAGCATCACCAGCACCCTCCTCCTCCTCTTCAACAAACTCAAAACCCAAAGCCCGCCAGTTCAGCTCCTTCCGCCAGTGCAGACCGTAATACATCCTTTCCTCTGTGCTTTGTTCCTGGCCCTCATCAACAGGAGTAGGAGCAACGACGGGCTCCGAGGCAAGACCGCCACTCGCCATGCGGCCCTTGCGAGGAAAAATCACGGCTCGGAAGCGGGAGAGGAGCATCCCCATCGAGCAGCAGATGCATGGTTCGTGGGAGAGGTAGACATCTAGGTCTGTGCAGAGGTATCCTCCTTGGGATGGGGCGCGGACTCGGGAGTTAGTAGTAGTTGGATTTGCGGAAGGCAAAGTAGAAGAGGAGCACTGGGCGTCAGTGGAATGGAGGATTGGGTCGGGTATGGCGATGGTGGAGGGTGGAGGGGCTGGAAGGGGTGGTGGTGTTTCAGACTGAGATGGCGAGGGCGAGATGGCCGTTTTCAGGTCAGGGACAGCAGTCGCAGCACAGCTGGACTCCGGGTTCGGTTCTTCGTGTTTTCTCTTCTTTGGCGAGGAGGGAGACTCGCTCAGAGGTGCCGGAGTCGTAGAAGAATCAAGATGATAGAGAAAGAAAGACTCAAGCGGACGAAGCTCTGCACCTCCTCCAGCAGATTGCGCGCGATGCTCCTCCTGTCGGCGCCGATGAGCCACCAAATCGATCGCTCTCATCAAAGCATGCAGTTCAGGTCCGCCCTCCAGGTCGGCATTGTACGACTTGCTGGCTGGGTTGGGTATCTTGCCTCGATGCAGCTCAGCCTGGGACGGCTGGCCGCCCTCAGGGCGCGAGTATCGCGCATCACCCGCAACAGCTATCACAGCCTGAACCCACTGATCAGAACGGTCTTCGCCATCCTCACGACTGTCGGCGTCGATGCTAGCCTCAATAGCGGGGTCGACTATCACGGCCCCGACCCCACGGCCTAGACCCGACTGCTCTGCTTCCTGGGCGACCTTTCGTGCAAGAGATAGATAGTAGCCAGCTCGGGGCTGGATCGACTCCCGCGCGCTTTTAAGGATCTGTGGAGGCGGCGCGACAGTTGAGCGGGGAGCGGCGGGGTTGAAGATGACCGGCCAGAGGGTCTCGGTCCAAGTTTCGGCTTGGTGGGGGTTGAAAGGAGGCTGGAGGGGGACTTTGATGGTATGTAAAGGGATTTGAGGTGGTGGTGGTGTGCCAATTGCTGGTGTTTCTGGCGGCGTGTCTGTGGTCGAACTGGGTGCCGGTGGTGAAGTAGCCGCTGGGATCGGCGCGAACGGTGCAAGGAGGGTCTGTAGTTTGTCGACATCGGGCAACGGAGACGCGATCAGCACGAAGATTGTCTGCGCTGTGGTTGGCGACTGTCCATCTTCAATTGCGGCCCTCACGGGTGCTGGCAGTCGTTCTCGTTTGACGAAGCGGCGCAGGTGGGAGAGAGTAAGGGAGGGGTCCTTGGGGAATGCAGAATCCAGGGCTCTGACCTATTGATCAGTATCTGTCCTGCAAAAAGAATGAAGCTGCTTACTTGACCACCTTGGAGGCGGCTTTGAGGTTGACTTCGGCGACATAGGCGTCGGCTGCGCTCAAGTTAGGCGTGTTCGAGACTAGCCAGAAGCATAGATAGTACATACCGAAGTCTTCAGGCGGCCGGGTCTCCTGGACCGTGCGAATGGGGATCACCTCTCCAGCCAGGGGAGTTAGGTCCCGGACAGACTGTGGGATGTCCATATGGAGATCCGTGGTGGGTGGATGTCAGGAAAGGAAGGACTTTCGAGCTTCCGCACGCACAAATTCCGCATTGGGAGTTTACACATCTAGATCTACCACCAACTACACAGGTCGGATCGACAACAAAAACAACAGAATAAATTGGGGGGAAATAGCACAGCCCGAAAATAAGGAATTATCAATCAAAACGCCACGTCGTTCGTTCCGCTGGAAATGGGATAGATAATCGCTGAAATGGAACAAATCCCCGCCCTCGGTTTATGCGATAGCCCTCTAAAGCGCCGTGCCCGGATGCACCTCTCGGATTTAGTTACTCCTCTGCAGGATAAGAAAGTATTCGTGAGATCCCTGTGCTCATCGAGTGGACCAGACCACCCTTCCAACGTGCTCCCTGGAATCCAGCCCCAGCGGTGAATCAATCACGAAAGAGAATAGACTGTGGTATACGTTGGGGACCCATTTATGCTGGAGGAACCTCGGGCGTAGCTACTGAGGAGCTGGCATTCCCATTGCCATTGGGGCGCTCGATCTCAAAGCTGTCGCACCGCTCCACCAGACTCCGATAATAGTCTACCAGAACCTCGGGCTCAGGCACAATCCGCCACTGTACTCGGAAGAGAAATTCTAGTTCCAGCATTGCCAGTTCCGTCATGCCAATACCGCCCACCCGGGCATATGTTTTGTTGGTCCAGAAACTGTCGCTCAGCCCCTTGCTGGCGACCGTGGCGCTGGCTATGAGGAAGCGGTGGATGGTCAGACTGGAAACGGTAAAGGCAGGGTACAAAGCACAGAGCCGATCGATATAAAAGACCATGCTGAGCAGGATCGGTGGCGACAGGGTGGCGTGAGTCGTTAATCGTTGCAGGTAGTCCTGCACTGATATTCGGGGCGGAGATCGAGAATGGAAGCGCGTCAGACGCCCCTGGTGTAATGGGATCTGATCATTGAACCGAATCAGCTCCAGCAGCATGCTGGAGATCAGCACCACCATATCCTTGGTATCGGCGTCTTCATATTGCGCAGGCAGAATTTTTACATCCGGCTTGGAGGCCCGCAATCGTTTCGACTGCGGGCTGTCCGATTCCGAGCCGCCGGAAGGGCCCGCCGGCGTGGCATCCGGCGGGTGATGGTCGGTCTGGCTGTTGCGCTTGTTGGAGCCCGAGCGACTGGGGGCGGGCATCGAGGGGGCCACGGACGACGCCGGCGGAGGATTCGAAGGCGACGCAGGCTTAGGAATGGTAGCGGTGGTATTATTGGCAGCGGAAGGCGCGGCAGAAGGGTCCGGAAGTGATGAGGACGTGGTGGTGGATAAGGCGGAAGGATTATTCTGGACCAGCGCTGAGGAGGGTGCAGAACGCTTGCGGTGAAGTTCCCCGGGGGATTCAGGGGATGAAGGATCGACAGTATGCTTGTTTAGGGCGGAACGAAGCTCCTCAATGGCCTGGCGCGACGAACGGGGGCTGCTGAATTGTGGAGCAGAACCGTTGGCCGGCTCATAGTGGTGTGGATGCGCCGAGGGGGAGGCCGAGAAGGAGGAGCGCAGGGCGGCCGAAGAGGGCGAGGGAGAGGATGCTAGCATGGCGATAAGGTTCGGTTAGGTGCGATATCGCGGTACCCGGAATGCTGGAATCTGCGAATCGACCGGTGGGATTGCTACCACGTGGGCGCACGAGTCAACGGGACGCTGACGCTGCGGAACCTGGGTGGCGCACGGGCTCATCCTCAGGATAGATCCAGTGAGGCTGGAAGGGTCTCCGGGCGACTCAAGAAGACAGATGGAGGGAGACCTGAAGGAGGTGGGAAGAATTATCCGGGTGGGAGACAGAATCGAAGACGAGAGAAAAGGAGAAAGAAGAACAGCCTGTCTCCGGGGAAAACCTGTTTGCGCACTGCCAGCGACGAAGGCGGTGACGGGTACTTCGGCCAGTCATGGGGTACGACATTAGGTAATTGAGCGGTCTAGACTGGAGTCACCTGATGACCTATTGACTACTGTCAAGAGCAGAGGGAGTATGTATTCCCAAGGTTGTCAAAAGTACTACTACACACGATAATCCAATTTGGTTAAGTTACCTACTGTACTATTATTATTAGCGTTAACACGGTTCAAAGAGGAAGGTATCTGCCTCAGGCACACATATTACGTAACCACGAGGTCATCTCGATGCGGAGTCGCAAACGTCTAGATTCCTCTTGGCCACTCTTGTTGTTGGTTGATTTGCAGGTACAGACAGGTAGGTTCTGACCAACTACTCCCGGGGAACCTCAGATCCACACAACCCGGTCGAGAGCATTCGTCGCTGGCCGTGAGACACACGACCCCTCGGTCGCCCGACGGCAGCCCACATCGAGTCACGCGGCTGCTCAGGCCCATCTGTGAAGCTCCTCCCACGGGGAGGCGGTGGTCTTCGGACGATGACACGAGCTTCTGCACCGCCGATTCTGCTGCAGCTCCACAGCCCAGAGTCGGTCTCCGCGCAAGTAACATCATTGCGCAACCTCAAGAATGAGTTGATCGGCCATGACCAGCGCAAGGAAGCCTACGTCAACGCGGGTGTCATTCCTGCTCTGGCGCAGGTGCTCACCTCGAGACGACCGACCGAGTTCAATGGATCGGTACAAGAGAAATCAAAGTCAGAAGAGTTGGAGGCCTGTCTTCAGGCGATTCTGATCGTTGGAAGCTTAGCACAAGGTATGTGAGGATTCAATACTCGCTCTGAAAAAGCATCATGGACTCACAGTAAGATGCACAGGTGGCCCGACATTTCTTGCTCCCATATTCGCCAGCAATATTCTTCCCACTCTCCTCTCCATCCTGTCTTCCCAAGAATGCCCACTCTCGTTCCGCCTTCCTATTCTCAGAGTCCTAAGCACGATTGCGGATCGTCTACCGCTGCAGAGTCAAGAGCAATGGCCTCGGGACACACGCTTGGCCGATCTTCTCTTCGCCTCTGAGCACATTGGGTGCCTCACTCGGATTCTTGGAGAAAATTACGGATCCGCCCAGATACAGACGTCCATCGAGTTGGCCGCTGCCCTGATTGGGAAGCTGTGCACGGAGGAGAGCCATAAGACAGCACTAGCAGAGTGTGGGGTGCTGGATGCCCTGGCGGTCAAGATTGCCTCTTTTGTGGTGGCACAGGGATTTGTGCTCCCTGGTGCCGAGGACCATCTCCAATATCTAGGTGCTTTGGAGGCAATCCCGTCGCCAGCTCCTGCATCTGCCCATCTGGCACCGATTCTCCGCGCAGTTACGGTGATCATTGAGCATTCTAAATGGCGCGCGGAGCATCTCCTCTCGTCGCCCGCAATTGTGACGGTATTTCCCAAGCAGGTACCGGGCTTTTCTCCATCCGACATCAAAAAGGGACCATGGGGAACACCGTATCTTGGAAGCTCAGCGGTGCCACGGCCCGTTGGCCCCAATCCGGTCGATGAGCTGCTGCCCTCAGTCCCACTCGCCCATGCCAAAGCGTCTCCTAACGCCGCGAATTTCCCACCTCTGGGGCACGGGGGCTCGCAGCGTCGGCACAGTAGCCACTCTTTCCCCACGCCGTTCTCTCTGACGGAGACGCCTATCCCTGAGGAAGACGAGAACTCCATTGTTCCATGGCTTCTGTGCATTCTGCGTTCGGAAAATGGCATGGCACGCCTGATGGCTGCCCGTCTGGTCACGGCGCTGTTCCGGCTGGGATTGGCAAAGAAGCACCGGGTGCCTATGTTTAGTTATCTGCTTATCCCCATCCTCATTCGAATGCTTGACAAGGACTTTTCCTTACCAGATGAAGGTGGTCCCAACTACAACGGGTTGATCTCGCCGACACAATGCCTGAAAGAGGAGGCTCCAGCAGTACTGGCCAATTTGGTAATGGATGATCAAGAATTGCAGAAACATGCGGTTGATGGCAGTGCGCTCAAACGGTTGTCCCAACTTTTGAAGGAGACATATAATCCAGTTCCAGAGAGCTCACGACCAATGTGGCAAGCAGAAAGTGATACTTTAGCTACAGATTCCGAGTCAGTGTCGGCGGAGTGCCGCCTTGGGCCTCCAGGCTACTCGCCAACATTGTGCCATGTTATGCGGTATCGGGAGAGCATTCTCAAGGCTTTGGCAGCCTTGGTTCCGTTCAAGGACGAGTATCGCAAGGCGGTCTGTGAGAATGGCGTGGTCCCCTACATTATTGACTCGCTCAAGCCACGGCCAAGTGATGCACCGGCGGACGCTTCGATTCCCAAGAACACGGCCGCTGACGGCAACCCGACTCCGACGCTGCTGGCTGCTTGTGGCGCGGCGCGGATGTTGACGAGGTCGGTCAGCGTGTTGAGGACTAGCCTAATTGACGCTGGGGTCGCCCAGCCTCTGTTTGCTCTCATTAAGCATCCAGATTTAGAGGTGCAGATCGCAGCTACAGCGGCAATCTGCAACCTCGCATTGGATTTCAGTCCCATGAAAGAGGTCAGTTGCAATCTTATTTTGGTCGGCGATGCAAATCTAACATGGTTCCTGTAGGCAATCATCTCCGCCGATATTATCCCACTTCTGTGCGAGCATGCTCATTCGTCCAACACCAAGCTCCGCATTGAATCTCTATGGGCACTGAAACACGTAGTCTACAATACATCGAACGACATCAAGATGAAAGTCGTCGCAGCACTGGGTCCAGCCTGGATTTGGCAAGTCATCAGCCAAGACCCTGTCAGCAACTTGACGAAACGAGGGATGGAGGACGAGATGGATCAGGGCGCTGGGATTGCCATGGGTCGAGCCAACTCAGCCGGGGAACAAGTCGACATTTTGAATCCCATGGAGGAAGCCGGCTCACGGGACGAAGGCTTCAAGACGACGGACACCATGCCGCCGTCGAAGATGAGTTTGGAAATGTTCCTCCCGGATGCTCGACGCCGACGCAAACTGGTCCTGCATGGCGACTTGGAGCAATCGACCCAGGCACGACAGGACGATATTGCGGTTCAAGAGCAAACGTTCGACTTGCTACGCAATATCATCTGCGGTCCGGGCGCTCCCGAGATGATCGATCATTTGTTCAAAGAGATCGGGCAGGACGAGCTCCTTGGCGCGCTGGCAGATAACCTGCGGTCACGCAGCATCCAGCTTCCCCATCGCCGCGAGTCCTCTAGTCGATCCCTGCAAATCCCCGTGGAGATCCTGAGCTCGGTCACGGCGCTGATTATCCACCTGGCTGCGGGCCTCCCCCGACACCGGCAGCTGCTTGTGTCGCACCGCAACCTAATGCGTTCGCTGACCGACTACTTCAACCATACCCATCGTGAAGTACGGGTGAACTGCGTATGGGTAGTGATCAACCTCATCTACGAAGAAGATCAGAGTGACCGTGAAGGGTGCCGTGAGCGCGCTGCCAAGCTGCGGTCACTAGGGATCGCAGACCGGCTGGCCAGTTTGACGGACGATTCAGATTTGGACGTGAAGGAGCGCACCAAGACAGCGGTGCACCTACTGAACTCGCTAGCGCCGGCATGATTGTGAGTCGGATTTATTTGAAGGGAGAACACAAAACTGGATGGATATTGGCGTCGAAGTAACTATTTTGAATCTTGTGTATACGCATCCAATGCGAGATAGTCCGTGTTATCTAATCGCCAGTGGAGAAAACAAACGTCATTGTATGAACTGTGCCGGATCAAGTATCTTACTTCACTCCTTCATTCAGCACATACACAATTAGCTCGAAACCATGTCCCCCGTCCCCGCCTCCATTCTGCGCGCCCTGTCTCTATCTTCTGATCCGTCAAAAGTCAGCCTCTCATCTTCCGGCCTGGGGTCAGGATTCACCAGCACTGGGGCCATTCGAGCCAAGGTAGCCACCGAAAAAGGCCAAGAAGAAGAGCGCCGGTACTTCGTCAAGACCTCAGCAGATGGCAAAGCGGCCGAGGAGATGTTCCGCGGGGAATATGAATCGCTCAATGCGATTGCAGGCTCGGTGCCGGGGTTCTGTCCGCGCGGTCTGGCGTGGGGTCCACTAGAAGACTCGGACAATAACAAGAAATTCTTTCTCGCGACGGAGTTCCTCGATCTGGGCGGCTCAATGGGCCGCAGTAGCTCTGGTGATGAGAATACGCCGACGACTCTTGCGCATCGGCTGGGAAAACTGCACACTACGCCCGCACCACCAGATCCAGAGACGGGGCGGCGTCGATTCGGGTTTCCCGTTCCTACATTCTGCGGAGATACAAAGCAGCCGAATCATTTTTACGATAGTTGGGCCGATTTCTACGCGAACGAGCGCCTGCTCACCATCCTAGCCTCGTCAGAACAGCGTAATGGCCGCGACGCCGGACTGCGCGAACTAGTCGAGAAAACAGCGCACACAGTTGTTCCCAGATTACTAGGCGATGGCCATTTGGGATATAATTCCCGAGGAGAGGGGGAAGGGATTGTCCCCGTCGTTGTGCATGGGGATCTATGGAGCGGGAACGCAGATTATGGTCGGATCGTGGGTACTGGGCGAGATGAAAAGCCAGGTGATGTGGTCTATGACCCGTCGGCGTGCTATGCGCACAGTGAGTTTGAGCTGGGGATCATGCATATGTTTGGGGGATTTGGGGCACGGTTTTTCAGTCAGTATCATCGTGTTGTGCCCAAGACAGAGCCCGTGGAGGAGTACGAGGATCGGGTGCGGTTGTATGAGTTGTGAGTTTTGCCTGATCTCCCCTGATAACCAGAATACAGGCTAATCAATACCTTATATGTAGATACCACCATCTGAACCATCATGCCATTTTTGGAGGAGGGTATCGATCTGGTGCGATGTCGATTATGCAAAAGTTGGTTCGGAAGTATGGCGATGCGAAGGCGTAGATCCGTCGAGGGGTGATGATGTCACATTAGAAATAACTACATATTCTCTCTTTTCCCCCTCTCTTCTTTCATCTTCATTTCTAACCTCATACTATGTCCCATCCCGACTCGAATCTTCACCCTGAAGCTACCGGCCCCGCCAAAGCGCTGGTCGACCGCCACCGCGCGGAGCAGCCCTTGAAGCTGTATGCGGGGTGGTTCTGTCCGTACGTTAACATCTCACAGAAATAAGACAATATAAACTGACTATCTTCAGATTCGGTGTGTTCTATTAAGCTAACTATAGACTTACTATTTTGGATACGAAACTAAACTATCTATCTCCAGTGCAACGAGTCTGGCTCGCCCTAGAAGAAAAGCAAATCCCCTACGAATACATCGAAGTAAACCCGTACAACAAACCCGACTCCCTCCTGGCCCTCAACCCGCGCGGTCTCGTGCCCACGCTCTCCTGCCCGACTAGCCCTTCCCCGCGGCCACTGTACGAGTCCACCGTGATATTGGAGTACCTCGAAGATGCGTATCCAGGCCATGGCCCGCGTCTCCTCCCAACGGATCCCTACGAGCGAGCCCGCGCGAGGATCTGGATTGACTATGTGACCTCGCGGATTATTCCTGCGTTCCATCGTTTCCTGCAGTATCAACCCACGGGTCCACAAGACGGAGGGCTGGACAGAGCCCGCCAGGAATTTCTGAATCATCTCAAGGTCTGGACGAAGGAGATGCATTCGACTGGTCCGTTCTTCTTAGGACAGGAACTGAGTGCTCCGGATCTGGTGCTGGCACCGTGGGCAGTGCGATTGTGGGTGTTTGATGAGTTTAAAGGTGGGATAGGGATTCCGTCTGGTGGTCCTGATAAGGCGGTTTGGGACAGATGGAGGAAGTGGGTTGCTGCTTTGAATGATAGAAAGAGTATCATGGAGACGACGAGTGAGAGGGAGTATTATCTGCCCATCTATAAGCGCTATGCGGATGATCAGGCGCAGAGTGAGTTGGCTAAGGCGACGAGGTCGGGACGGGGTGTTCCTTGAAAACATATTAGAGAGACAATTTATCTTTTTCACAATATAGCTGAGAGACGAATGAGTACGTAAGAAGTAAGAGAGAAGAGAGAGACTCAAAAATAGGCCCACGAGTATGAATAAGTAATATGCCGTGTTGACTTCACTGTTATGTAGAAACCTAGATTTCCTGCCTGATCAGGACAAGTTCTCTTCATATATGTATCACTACAACTCTATGCCCTTTAAAGATACCAGCTCGACTCCCGTAGTGCAGCGGGGTTGCTACGATGGTCGCTGGCTGCTCCATCGGGGACTGGCTCGCTCCCTCACAGCCCCCAGTGGACGCAAGTGGGCTGGGATCTTTTTGCATGCCGGAGATATATTCAGTCAGTATCTTTATTTTTTATTTTTCCCTTTTATTTATTCTTTTTATTTTTTTATTTTTTTCCTAATTTGAAGTGCCCTCACTACACCATGATATAGAAACAAGAGGATCGAGCGGTTGCTCGCAACAACATTCTTCCGACTGACATAATCCATCATCGCGTCCCATCGCCAAGTCCGCTTCTTCCGCGTCAACGAGCCATCGGGCCTGTCAATCTTGCAATGGCGCCCGAGACAAAGGACGGGCCGCTTCGTCGCGGCTCATTCTTAGAGCCCGGCGCCCCAGAGACCCCCGCCATCCACCCATCATTCATCCAGGTGGCCAAGCCGTATATCTTCGAGCAGACCATCCAGGACTGTATCGAGGCTATGGGCGTCAATCCGATGCGCGAGGAATCGCTGCGTCTCCAGGGCGTGACCTGGATCGATAATGTGCGGAAAGTGCTTCGTCTGTAAGTTTCCCGCCGCATGTTATGAGAAGCGGTGTTAATTGAATGGCTCAGTCCCGTTCGCACTTTCAACACGGCTGTGATGTATTATCATCGTTTTCGGTTGGTGCACCCGGATAATGAGTATAACTACGTAGTAAGTTTTGTCGCGCTTGTTTCCGAGTGTCAGGCTAACATTCTCACAGGATGCAGCCGCGGCGGCTTTATTCGCCGCGTGCAAGATTGAAGACACTCTCAAAAAGTCGAGAGAAATTGTCTGCGCGGCTTACAATTTGAAATTATCACCATCAGAACATCTGCCGTCTGATGATCCGGTAAGATATATGATCGGGGAGTTTAAGAATCGATGCTAATATATGGACAGTTCTTCGATACGAATGCCCGAGGCATCATCGGCCTCGAAAGGCTCATGCTAGAAGCCTCCGGATTCGACTTCCGGACTCGCCATCCCCAAAAGACGCTGATGAAATTAACCCGAAAATTCAACCTGACACACGATTCCGAAGTGTCTCGCCTGGCCTATCGTATCTCACTGGATCTCTATCGGACCTTTGCCCCCGTCAAACAGGCATCGTCAGCCATGGCATTTGCCTGTCTCGAGCTTTCAGGGCGACTACTGGATCAGCGCATTGGAGCCGTCGAGTCTGGGGCGGAGTATGAGCAGTGGAATACAACCCGTGAAGAAGTTATGGAAACCCTCTTCGACCTCCTCGAACTTTATACCGACCAGCGCTCATCTACGATTGTGGGACCTCAATTCCCCGCCGACCGCTTCTTGACAGTCCGCATTCCGCTCAACCAAGAAGCAGATGCGCAGCATATCCCACGGTACACGCGCTGGACAGAGCGCCCGCGCATGTCCAAGACCTCGCCCAGGGAATCCAATGGCGCTGGTACGTTGCTGCGGCCTAACCATCCGCTAACTCCGATTGCTGCGAACGGCGACCGCCTGAAAATGAATGACCGTGGTTCTGACGCTGCGGTCCGGTTTATGTTGGATCCTGTTTGTGCAGAGGAGGAGAATAAGCAGGTTACGCAGTATTTTACTGTTGAGATGGAGGAGTATGAGGTCGAAGAGTAAAAGCTGCAGTCGATATTCGGGTCCTCCGCTTTGCGTCTTGGACATTTGAGCATACGGCCGGTATCCTTGTTGTGCTCAGCTAGCACGGCCCCATATGTTCTCGGCCCGTCTTGCATTGCCTCTCTTGGGCCGTCAGAGCCCATGCAGCGGAGTGCTATCTACCGAGAACGTTTGAGAGGCGAGCCACTTAATCGCCCAGCCCCCTGGAACGGACCTCCCAGCTCCATGGCTTTGGGGCTTCTTCGGCAGGACAGGAACAAAACACACCACTCGTGATTCTTACACTCCAGTTCTCTAGGGCATATTGTCCTAACATGTTCACAGCCCCTTCCGGCCCATTGACTCCCTGCCTCTCGCAAATACATTCTCTCTCGAAGAGGACGTGAAGAGATATAAACGACAGTGGTCATCCCTGCGGAGCATGCCAACGATGATAGGCAAACTCAATTTATACAAGACGCCCCTAAGAAACCATATTCTGTAGCTAGAAGGAAACGCACCATGTATTTTGTCTGTCATCTCAATGTACGTCACAATCCCTTCGCCCACACTGCTCATCACTTCAATGTCTTACGAAATAAGGAATCATATTATGAACGGGTTTGGTAATATTAAAAATAATTTTCAATATTTCTAGAACCTTGAAATTCTCTAAGCACCTTGCAGCCAAGCCCTAATCTGCTCGTTTTCATTCTGGGATTCGACCAATATTATAAGAGACGTTGGAAGTAGATCTTCCTTTAAATTGTCTTTGGTTTAGCGTACCTAATCAATTTACCTTGGCATTCAAGATGAAAATAGTGGTAGCGACTGTAGATTCTCAATAAGGAAGGTACACCACTACGTAGAGAGAATGTAGATTCTAGCTACTCTTGTCTGGTAATAATCTTACCATTTGAGACTTTTGCATCTGGCTATACATACCCGATAAGGCGCAAATTGTTCTATCACGGGCTTATGGTCTAGGGGTATGATTTTCCCTTCGCATGGGAGAGGTCCGGGGTTCAATTCCCCGTGAGTCCATTTTTTGCCCTTTCTTTGAGATATAGTACTATTATTTTTGGATGCTTATGAGAATGAAAAAAAAAAAAAATTTAAAAATTTTCTGTAAATTCTACTGGGATAAAATAACCGGGAGAATAATGAAAGGAACCCTACATCCAATAAAAGAAAGCGAGCTTCGAAAATGTCAAGTACCTCCTTATACGGAAACGACACAGGTAGACTAACCGTTGTGAACGTAAACAAGCCACGACTAGCTAGGCAATTAGGAGCTATGCTTCATCATGTTAAAAAATAGACGGGTATTACGCTAGCAATCTCCCAATGCTTCAAAATGCGATCGGATACCTAAAGCACGCTCACAGTGGTGCTGGCACTAGATTTAGGGTTTCCGATAATTTCATAGACATAGATAGTGTTGTGAAGGAGAATCTTAATGTAATTTGTTCTATAAGCTACTAAAGTAACTCAATGAACTGACTGCTGAGAAAAGGAAATTCACCAATCACCACATGTCTAAGGGGGCAAGACCCTCAGTAACAAGTTGCTCATTAACCTCCATGTTTGTGGTCTCCCACAGCCCTTTGATCTGTTTGTCATCCTCAACAACTGCATTTGGGGATTCAACTTTGCCAACAGGCACCAGGAACTTCCCCTTGTAGTTCTCGATATTCTGTCTGACCTCTATCGCGGTGGCAGCGAAGGCAGATGTCGCAGCACCTTGCTCGGATGCGAGGAAGAAGAGGCGGGCTATAGTCCGTATGAATAGGTAATTGACTATCATCAAACCCTCGGTGGCAACCTCTCCTGGGTGCACGGCAACAGATACAATAGGGAGACCCTGCTCATCCAACCGGCGCTGTAATTCCTTTGTAAATAAAGCAACGGCGGCTTTTGAAACGGCGTAGCGGATCAGATCGAAGCCGAACATAAATCTACCAATATATCGCCATTGCCAAGGGTGTGCACGAACCGGGTTGCGAAGGCAATCGGTGGAGTCGAAGTGGAATTCGAAGTTTTGCGGCAGCATGGTAACTTGGGCGAGCGAACTGAGGTTTATGATCCTAACGTCGGCGTCCTTCGCTTTCAGAGCATTCTTAAGAAGCGGCATAACACGGTTAACGAAAAAGAAGGGTCCGATGTAGCTGAAGATATCAGTCGGGTGCCGGCTCGTCTCTAATAGAAACTTCAACCTACTTGACGGCCAGGTGTTGTTCCCATCTACCATACAACAGTTCGTTGGACAACGTCGAATACGCAGCATTATTAACTGGAAGGCAGATGTCAGAAAACGAATAGTACGCCAGAGGTTTTGGACCATACTCAGAATGTCTACTTTGCTTTCCTTCTCGTTCAGCGCATGGGCCGCCGCATCGATGCTCTTTAGATCGGATAAGTCCAATAACAGCCAGTCGATGTTATTTGCTTCGATGTCCGGATAGTTGGTTTGGAGGATGTCCTTTGCATTCCGTGCCTTTGATTCGGATCGTGATGTGAAGTACACCTTTGCTCCACGTTGAGCGAGAAGCCGCACTGTCTCAAAACCAATGCCATTACTACAAGATAGATTCCTTTAGTAAGAAATGCTAGATCCTCGGGGTCGCTTTGCCGTGTGGACCTACCTTCCTCCCGTCACGACAACGACTTTCCCGTGGAGGTCGGGGATATCCTTTAGCGCATCCCACTGTTTGTTCATGAAGGGCAAGTTGGTTAGTTGAATTGACACCTTGGTGCAAGTTCACGGTACACGAAGAAGTGAAGAGGGGTTCAGCATCTCCTTCTGTGGCCGCTGACGAACTAGCGCTAATACGAATTAGGCAGATTTCAGCCCCCCCCCCTACGAATTTCATATCATTTCAATCTTAACTCAATTAATCTAAGTCTCGATTCCGCCTAGGCCTATGTCAGTTTTGATGAGGGTGCCAGCTTTCGACAGTCGCTGGTAAAAATGAAAATTGTAAAGAAGGTGATGAAATGGCAGCTTAAGATTTGGTTACAGAGTGGTCAAACTGGATCATTTCGTTTCTTCCTACAGGCGGAAGGTACACATCGTAGTCACTGCTTTAGAAGTAAATGGTGTGCTACAACATGCTTTAAAGATGCCAAACCACTAATTGTCAATCTGATAACTACTTTCAGGAGCTTGTAAAATTCCTACATTCATTACCTTACACGAACTTGTACTAAACTACGACAGTATTACTTGTTCTTTTTAATAAATTATTGTGGACACGTTATACTATAACAAATAGAAGTCATCAGAAACAAGAGGACCTCTTCATTTTACTGGTATCTAGACTAGTTTTGGTGTGGGCTAAGCCAGTTTCATTTCATTCAAGTAAACTGAATAGCAATTTGGTAAGCGTTGTACCCAAATAGTCATCTCAATCGTTATCGCTCCAATAAATTTCTTCCTGAACTGCTTCATCCATCCACGTCTTAAATACTGCGCTGGACACCAGCGTTTCGATTGTCGAAGTCAGAGTCCACGCGGGGATCTAGCTTATTGGCTGTATTTGTGGCATGGGGGCCTGCAGTCGCACCAGCCAAAGGGTTGCCATAGCTACTGCCAGCAATAGCTTGATGACGAGCTCGGTTGTCAAGATCAGAGTCGACGCGAGGGTCTAGCTTGTTGGCTAAGTTGGAACCGTGTGGGCCGGCATTTGTGGTGGCGGATGAGACACCAGTTGGCTCGTAAGCACCACCTACACCACCATGATGGCGAGGAACGGCCGCGCCGGAATCAACTCGGGGATCGACCTTGTTGGCGACATTAGTGTTGTGGGTGTCAATACGCCCGCCTGGAGCCCCAGTTGTCCCAACCGGAAAATAACCGGGGCTATCGAACTGAGCAGCGCGGTTGTCTAGCTAAGTTAGTTATTCATTCAAATGACCGAGTAACTCCACACAGAGATGACACACCTCTGTCACTATCGACACGGGGGTCAACTTTATTGGCCATATTGGAGCTATGCGGGCCAGCGGCGCCTCCCATAGCCTGGTGATGGGCACGGTTGTCTGTGATCATTTGAAATGAGTTAGCCAACTCGATAAAATAAAATGCAATTGCTTTCCACTGCATACCACGGTCGCTATCGACTCGAGGGTCAACTTTGTTGGCGATGTTGGAGCTATGCGGGCCAGCGGCGCCTCCCATAGCCTGGTGATGAGCACGGTTGTCTGTGATCATTTGAAATGAGTTAGCCAACTCGATAAAATAAAATGCAATTGCTTTCCACTGCATACCACGGTCGCTATCGACTCGAGGGTCAACTTTGTTGGCGATGTTGGAGCTATGCGGGCCAGCGGCGCCTCCCATAGCCTGGTGATGGGCACGGTTGTCTGTGATCATTTGAAATGAGTTAGCCAACTCGATAAAGAAAATGGAATGGCTTTCCACTGCGTACCACGGTCGCTATCGACTCGAGGGTCAAGCTTGTTCGCTAGCTTGGAGTTGTGGGGTCCATGGTTTGTGGCCTGAGCCGAATCGTTATGATGACCACTCAAGGCTTCTTCGGCTTTCTTGATGAAATTACTCATTTTTGCAGGATAGGTTGCTCTTAAAGATTCTGTCTTTGATCAAGTGAGTTTGTAGGTTGGTACTGGAAAAGGATCTGAGGGTCATTGACTGGCTTTATATATTTCCCAATCCGTAGGGGTTAAGCAAACGCCTTAGCAAGCAAATGACGTCGGCCTTGCTAGCCATGATGCAGTTATTGTACACTGTTCTTATCAAGAATGACTCTTGCCAAGTATAAAACATGGGAGGTGCGATATTAGCAGTGTCTGATGATGAGAAACCTTAGGCATGTGGCGTCAAGCTCGTTTTCGCCACCACAGGGGGTCTTGGAAGGGGGTGCAGAAACAGGGCTACACCCATGTTTACCAGGGCCCACGTAAAGAAGAATAGTAAAGTGAACTTGCTCTGGGTTTCTATTTCAAACAAGAATGGCGTCAATATTTCATCATTCTCCTTTGAACGCGTCCTCCATTGTCAACAAGCAAACCTACACCATGCTCTCACCTGGCGTCTAGGGAATGACGGACAATTGCTGGTCTTGTTAAACTATAATCAAACTTGATCGAGTTCGTGGGCTATCATACCTTTTTGAAGCTATGACGAACTTGGTAGTGCTGATCAAGCCGGTTAGGCCCCTGTGAGTAATCAACTCTGCCCTATGATCTGGCATGAGGCTTTGCCTGCAAAGAATGCTATGACCAACTAATAGCATAAATTTCTACTTGTGCAAATACTATCCACGAAGGCTATACCATAATAATAGATATGTATATATTAGAGAGAGATAGCGATGTACTGCATGTAATAATGAAATCTGATGTCATAAGAGCACACGTGTTGCTAAGGACTATAAGCGAGATCTGCATAACCAGAGCATTGGACAAGCTAGTCAAGATATGAAAGAATAGAGTGGTTTACGTCTACTTCTCTAGTAGGATAGCGACTTGTCTGGGTTCCAAAAGATAAAGATTCCTGGCCGTAGCCGAGCCTAATGTCCCAAATAGGCCGTCTGGTACTGGTAAGATTCTGATTCGTGTGTCAACCTAGGTCACAAATTTTTTTTTTTTAAAAAAAAAGGCCAGAGTTAGTACTATAATAGTGTCTAGTATTCTAACAAGCTAGCAAAAGACCTTCCCAACCGCTAAAGGCATGACGGTGATTAACCCTAATGTGGCAAGACGGACCCACTTTTGAAATTCTGATATCTATGGCAATCTAGGGCGGAAAGTCCCCATCAAATGGGCTTGTGGTCTAGTGGTATGATTTTCCCTTAGCATGGGAGAGGTCCGGGGTTCAATTCCCCGCGAGTCCATTTTTTGATCTCTTCTGAGAAGTGGGTGGTGTTTTTTAATGTTTTGAGACTTAGAAAGGATTTTCTTTTTGATGTGTGGGTGACATCACCTCGCTAAACAAATAATTATATTATTTCACAATCAGTGACATAACTATGATATGGTACCCTTTTAGCATCGGGCGGTCTAGGCTTCCCCCACAAGTCCATTATTTTACTTTTTCTGAGCGTTTTCCGAGATGCAGTAGTAGTTTTATATGCTAATGGGAGTTGAAATTTAGTTTGTTTTATTCATTGATGTGGCTGATACCCGCGCTAACCAAATGTATATTTCCATGCTTAGGTCCATCATCCGAAGGAAACGAATAGCAAAATATGCAAGACGTATATGAAGTATAGTTATTCATATAGACAATAGTGAAAACTATTTACAATTGTATTGTATATGTGGACAATTAGGTGCGCGTAAATATCACCCTTAGAAACTAAAGGTGGACGGGTCATTGGGGAAATTCGACAAGGCCCAAGAATCAAGCTGAGCCCACCAGATAGATCCCTCCAGATTCTCCAGAAAGCCTTGGTCATCGCCTGGAGGAACGGATGACGCACCAAGTTCAGTAGGCTCCAAGACACCAGACATGGCCGAATAATCCATGGGAACAGCGTCGAACGAGACAGGTCGTTCGGATTTCGTTGGTGGCAGTGTCTCTTGCAGGGTAGCATTGACACCATTATTAGCGCCCTGAGGGCACTGAGACGGATTAGGACCAGCGGATCCAATCTGACGGTGAACCTCCTGTCGAAGCTCCTCGAGGATGATGCTATACCGTCGACTAGGGCAATTCTTGCGCGTAGCCTCAGCCAGATGCTGCTGGCACGTCTCTGCAAGGGAGAAAAGGTAACGCAGCTTATCGGCATCCCCGGGGCTGGCGGCCGAGGATGCGGATGATGAAGGGCTCGGGGCGAGCGATTGACGGTGTTGCTGGATAGTATGGATGTAGACCACGAGGATGGCGCAGAAGCACACATAATGCGTGAACCAGAAGGACTGGATCAGGATGCCCTGTTGGGCTAGGTCATCTACGAGAGTCATCACATCCTCAGCGGCCTCGATGCACTTTTGCACATATGTGCTGACCATGGGACGCGATACTTTCGGCCTGCGGCTGAGATCGGTGAAATCGTTTAGGAGGAATGAGCGTGTGACGTGAATCATTGCGTGGGAGTAGGCGAGTTGTAGCACTTGGCTTTGTCGACAGAGTGGTGGGATTAGGCTAGATGCTCTGACGCTGTTGAATAGCGGCGGGGTGCTCTCTTTCCACTTTTCTAGCTCGGAGGTGAGTCGGACGGCCGTCTCGAGTGGTGAGTTGCGGGACAGAGGGTTTATACTGTAAAGCTGGCGCGAGATTTCTCCCATAATACGACCGAGGCTGCAGAGCGGTTAGTCAGAAGGCCGAGCGAAGAAGAGAGTGAATGCTTGCCGGTAGTGAAGCACAGATGCAATCATCATACTATCCGCCGACCCCGTCCGCTTTGTCGGGTCCTCTTCTAGCAGGTCATCATCGTTCATCTCATCCGGGAGCTCCTGGTCAAGATCTTCGTCGTGCATGAGCCGTGGTCGTCCGAACATGACGCTCAGGTATTTGTCCAACGTGTACGCACTCCAGAAGATACGTTTGCGCAGCTCCAACTCGAGGTACGAACATCCTTTCGCCAGTTTCGACGGCCACTTCCGGTGTAAACCAAGAGCCGTGACGACTTGTAGGGCTGTACCAAACAGATACCAGCACTCGTTGGCACGAGAGGTCGATAGCAGATAGAGGCATTGGCCTAGTCGAGCTTGAATCGTCTCCAGCCGCGGTGGTCCTGATTCAAGCGAAGACATGTACTTCGAAGCCACATACCAGCGTTCACTATCAATATTTAGATTCAATCTGGGAGAAGCGGAAGTGGCTGAACAATGCGCACCTTTCATTGCGTCCATCTGGCATCCCCGGCCGCATCTCCAGATATAAAGTACTGACAGCGAAGACCATCAGCACGATGGCCGTCCTGGCCACCATATTTCCCGTGGGAGGATTCGAAAGCGAGGTATCATGTTGATACACCTGGCGAACCCATTGCTCGACGCTGCCCCGGTGCAGGAATCGGTAGGTCACGATGGAGAAATCAAAATAGACGCCGACAAGCTCCAGCGCCTTCTCAAAGGGCGGAAGGGTAAATTCAATCTCCTGAGCGTTGTGGAATGGCTTGTCACCGAACATGAACACGGCGGCACTCTTGGACGACTCATTTTGCAGCTCATCTGGGATGGCGGTGGTCTCGTCCTGATGCAGGCGACTCCATACCCGATTCAGGAACGAGACACCCGAGGACGGGCCGAGATAATTGCCTTCGAACGTGGATCCCGGCTCCGGGGAGTTCCGCGGTGACAAGGCACGCTGGCGATTGCGGGGCGGTTGCTGGAAATCATCATTTCCGGAGGACTCGGTGGCTCGCCGCCGAGAGCTGTTGGATACCGAGCTAGCGATGGGCGGAGACGCAGATGCAGGGAGAGGCTCTGGTGGCAGACCTCGCGAGTAGGCGGCATTGTATCTGCAGTGCAATGACAGGCGCGTGCAGCGGGTGCAGGGCAGGGTACCCGTACACCGCGTCTTCTTTCCCTTGCACAAGTCGCAGGCTCGGGTGATCTTCTGGCGCGGGGCCTTGGCCGACATCATCGGGTCGGAGGATTTTCGCTTGCGGGCCAACGCCTCTCCATTACTATTATCTAGTGCGAGCATGGATGGCTAGGAAATGGCATCAGTTCCTTCTCCGAGACAATCAATGATGGCAATAAAGGAGAAGTTTCCGAGCCAGAGTGGGGGTTCGGGGCGTCTCCGCGCGGGGGGGTTTTTTCTGTTCCCCGGATTCGTTTTGTCAGCGATTCCGCTGCCCTCACGATGCTTGTTGGATCGTCGGATCGTCTCAATGAGGTCATCGCTGGCCGGCTAGTTGCATCAGATCTGCAGCCCAGGGGACGATGACATCAACGGCGAACATTCATACTTTAATTTTACAAGGGTTATTCTTCGGCCCCGTACCAGGAAACCTTCGTGCCTAACGAGGCTCAACCGTCCAATGAACAGGATGACTAGTTAGGCCGTTAGATGTCTATGGTGGCTGAGGTGATAAACCTAAAACCTCGAAATTGGCCATGGAAGATTACTGGCCAGAACTTAATTCTGTTCAATGCTGCAGTGCGTGCCTGTTTAGCCCGCAACGTCCGGAACCGAAGTAGAAACAGGACGGGAAATGGGGATCAATAGAGATGTAAGACACCAGAACGGTATAGGAGAACATCCATCGCGTATATAGAAACAGCACGATGCCACCCAGGAACCACACGTATATCACAAGGTGGATGCGCTCGTGAGGCAATTACGTGGAGACGGAAATAGAAGTAGGTTTGACTTGAAAGAAAGAAACAACAAAGCAGTAGTCAACAAATGCTGAATTTTGTAGGGTGCATCAAGTCCCAATGTTATCAAGGATATCGGGATCATAACAAAACAAACAAGAAGGACACAACCAAAGCAGATATAACGGTGTGGTACAACCAACCAATAGATTCAACCAGACAAGGACAGTCCGCACGCAACGGCCGCTATGCAGGGCGAAAAGCCACAAGGCACTCCAATCATATGCAAATAACGGTAGATGAGGCAGTGGGGGAGAGGAGGGTAGGGCGGAAGGGGATAGGGACTACCGGTAACCAAAGAGATTGTGCATGGGATCTTGATTGCCCATGCCGGGGTCCATCTCGGATTCGGGATTGGTGTCGGGCTCAGAGGTATTTCGACGATCGGTCGGTAAGGGGAGAGGAGGTCGATTTAGGATGTGAGCGACTTCGGCGGCGAGTTGATCCTCGGGCATGCCGGCGCGGATCATCTCGATGATATGTTGGACGACGGGATATTCGCTCGTGCGGATAGCCTCTAGCAGTAGGTCGACGAACTGACGGTAGTAGCGCAGATCGTCCTGGGTGCGTTTCGCGGAGATTTTACGGCGTTTGTCGGAGCCCTCATCAAAGAAACATTGGCGACCATGCGTCTCGCATTCGGAACATGGCTTGCCCGGCTTGCCATCTGCGCACTAAGAGAAGAAAGAGACGGGACGGTCAGACAAGAGGCAAGGCAAGTGACTAGGAGAGGTCAATCCCAAGGCAGGTGGGAGACGAGAGTGGGCGGGTGTACCCTTGTCCGACGTCGTTTGCATTCCGTACATGCGGTCGACGCTCTCTTCATCCTCGGTTCTTCTGGTGGTAACGGGCCCGGTGGCCCTTGGCCAGGCGGCGTGAGCCCGGGCATCACGGTGCGAGGAGCAATGGGCCGGAGACCCCGCGACCCTATGTGGTCCATTGGCGGGGCGGAGATGATTGGTCTTGGGGGGAGGGCGGGGAGAAATAAAGGATGATAATCAAGAGATGATGATGAAGGGAACCTGCTCACGTTGATGAGCCAGACCAAGACCGGCAAGCCACCTGCAGCGAAAACATAATCGGTCCAATACCAAGTTGCGTCTAGGGTGAACCGCTCATGGTCTTTTTCACCCTAAGGTAGGTAAGAGTGTGCGGAATGAGCCGAAAGCATTCAAACAGACTGGGAACTGCAGGTAACGCCTTTCCTAGAGACTGTCGAAAATGATAAGAAAAGAAAAGGAAAGAAGGAAGAGGGAACGAGGGTGGGAGGGAAGACACGAGAAGGTCTGTGGCGTGTGTGGCGGAGGGAAGTGGAGCGAAACCACAGTAATAATGTCGAGTGAGCACAATAAGGGAAAATAGTTGGTCAGTAACCAAGAAGAAAGAGTAACTAGTAATTACCACAGATCATTGCCTGAAACTACAGCAACGGAGAGGGGCCGAGAAGGCCCTGTGTATCCAGGATGATTTGACGGACCATCATGATCATCATCGTCATTATCATCATCATCATCATCATCATCATCATCATCATCATGATGGTTCGCTACTAACCCCCTCGCTGTTTGGACCATCATACTATTCCAGTTAGAAGGGAAAGGGAAAAAACCAAAACAAAACAAAGTGGGACGGAGTTATCACCCGCCACCTCTGATAGGGCACGCCGTCATTCCATCCTCTGATCTGTAGTTCTCCATGTTCTCATTGGCGCATCGACGGGATCTGGACCTGTCAGCAGCGAAACATCCATGGTTAAAATGATAGAGCCGTGGATTCTCCATTACTACTATGTATTCCGCCACGAAAAACGGCGTAGGGTTTGTGAGAGAGAGAGGACGTACAGAAATTTACTACCAAATCCGGCAGCCCGGCTTGGCGCGACATTCCGAGTGAACGCGTCAGATCTTGCAGAAGGGTAGTTCGCTTCGATCTACATTATTTGACCGTGTTTAAACCAATTTACGTCCCACTCATTGGATCACATCACTGCCATGATGAGAGAAATGGAAGAAAGAGACACGGCAAGGTGCAGTCTAGCTCGAGAGCGGCGCAGATGTGGTTGGCTGGAGAAGCGGCCCGTCATCGGCGGTCGAATGAGAAGCCAACCCGAGCGACAACGACGGAGGAGAATGGCCACCACGTCACAATAACTTACAGTAATCACTCCTAGTCTAAAGTCGTTGTTCTCTCTCTCGCCCGAAACTCGGTTGACAGAGTGTCCGTAGCAGCTCGGTTGCCCCCGGACTGTCAGTGCCCCAGGGGAGGGGGCCTGAGCAGCAGGTGGAGCCTGGGCTTTCACTTTTACTGGTGTCGGAGACGCACTCTAGTCTGGAGAGCCCCAGGGGATTCAGGAGTCACTGGTCGAATACGGTGGAACCCGAGCAGAATAAGTGGGAAGGAATCGTTGGGCCTTCAGAGCGTTTCCTCTTTGTGGACATCGGCCCAAATGCTTGGGTCCAGATGCTCCGCTACGGGAATAATGACCTCGGATCGGTCCTATTGTGCCGCTCAGACCGGCGACGAGCTATTTGTGGTGCATTGGGCATGGCGGAATGGTACCTTCCGTGCCGCCCATCTCCTGCGACTACCTATTTGAAATGTTCAGTAATATGTGGTTGGCTACGTGTTCGGCATACACCGAGATCTGATGAAAGGATTCGTCCACTCCCTGTGCGCGAGCACGGCAAGAATAATGTATCCGCCTAGGAGGACGACTACCCCTTCGCCAATTACTGCATATTTTTAGAGTGCAAGGCAAAAACAAGAAATAATAAAAGAAGTGCGCGTGGGTCAAGGATGACAACCACTAGTTAACTCCGAGTCCACAGAAAACAGCCATTCACAATGAACGATCTACACAGCACATGCATATCATTACTGGCATCTGGCCAAAACAAGCGGTCAAACGGATTTGCGGTCAGCACACGAGCAAAACAATGCTTTGGGGACCCGCACGACCGGCGGAAAAGTAGATTTAGGTTAATTAGGATCGGTCCAATATCTACCTAACCACGTATACCAGATCTGCACATGATGAACTTTCCCTAAACAGGCAGGCAACCTGCAGCTGGGGCGTCCAGTGATATACTTTTTATCCCCAAAAACGTGCAATGGTCCAGCTGAGTTCCCAATAGAGTTTTGGCAAGCGAAGATTCGGGATTGTAAAGGATGGGGTAGCCGAGCAGGGGAGGGTTATGCACCCCCCCCCGCCTCGGGAGTTGCAGATTGAGAATAATGGGGGGGAGATAAGCAAACTCTAGTAGCTGCAGTGCAGAAATCTGATAACTTGATTACTGTAATCATGACCAAGCCCGTTATCCCACGTTTTGCTCGGCGGCTTGGGCTTTTAGTTAGCTAGTCAGTATTAACTAATCGCCCAGACTATCCTGCATATCTACAAGCAGAAGACCGTTGCGGTACAGCTTGCGTTTTCGGCCTTAGGCAGTGGCACTAGGTCAGGCTACTTGTATGATGCTTCACGTAGAATAAATTGGTATGGACACAAGAAAAAGAAATATGTACTCGAAACAGATCAGCAAGGAAAGAAAAAGAAAGAAAGCATATCTTGTACACGAGTAAAGAAGGATATCAAAAGTAACGCGATGCTGGAGAGTCGGTTTAGGTCGATTCAGTTAATAAATCGGCCGTCCCTCATCCCACCGACGGGACTCCCTCCTCGGGCTGATAGTCGACAACTCAGCTTTGCCGCCGTCGGGGGTAGACATCTGATGGGCCGAAGGAGAAGGTAGCGAGAACCTCGCGCTGTCGCGACGGTTGGCGCTGTTGAGATTCTCAGGGCTGAGGGCGACCCCGCCAATACCACCGATCCACTCCCAGACGCGTGAGACGTCGCCGCTGTGGCCCTCACGAACGGCAGCACGGACATTGGCATTGCCTTCGACGACGTTGCGGACACGGCGCCACAATTCCTCGCGCCGGGAGCCATGTAACTCAGAACGTAGGACATCGTCGCGTAGCTGCCCGATGGGGATGTATGGCTCTCTGGCCTCGCTGCGGGAATACAGCGCTGCTTGGGTGGCCAGACGGTCAAGTGTCGTGGCGACCAGTTCCGGAACACGCGCGATATCTTTGCGGCGGGCGAGAACTCGGGTACGAGCGTAGATGATAGCACCGACTCCAAGGGCTAGAAGTGAAAGAGGGAATCTATACGCGATGAGAGCGAGGCGTACATATCGTCGGAGGGCGCAGGTGAGTGGGAGTCTGGAGATGGAGTTTGAGCCGAGGACGAGGACTGCGGAAAGTCTGTGATTGCGATGGCGCCTCTGTTAGTTCCAGCACATAAGTCAGAACCAAGATCTTTTT